ATAAGCACTTCTAGTAACTGGCTGTGTACGTTGTCAAGGGGAGTGTTTTGGATTGGATCTTCACAAGAGTGGGAGGCACACATAGAATGATGTAATTGACTATGGCCGCTTTTGATCCTTGGCCAGTTCATCCACTTGGGGGCAGGTGCTTTACCCTTCTGAACTCCAGAGGCACAGAGGGCTAAAGAATATCCTTGGTTCATAACGAAGGCCCTGTTTGTGCCGAAACACAGTGATTGTGACTTAGTTAGCTATATTATTTCATAGCTAGTCAACTCTTCATTAGCTTAAGAGTTTTATTTAAGGTTTGTCTGTAGGGGAGTTATGTTTTTGAGCTATTTTGAAATCACGGTGATTAGATTTAGCATTAATGCTTATATATCTTTCACATTTATCTAACCCTACTAGTTATTTTCCTGGAATCTGTCCCCTGACACTCTCTCCACACGTTTTCACCCTCCGTCGTTTAGGCAATACACCTAAACAGAGATTAACGATATCCTATATATCCTTCTACATTTTAACAGATTCTAAGTCTGATTTATCTAAGGGCATTTGCCGAAGAAGGATCTAGGGTGGCGGGTCAACTGCCAGTTAGATGTCTTATACAAACATATGTATTTAAAACATTTTGATACATCATTCTCAGAAATTCAGCTGGGCATAACAGCTTCTGTATGTAACAAGTGTAATGCAAAAGTAGATACATATGCAATACAGTTATTATATTGTTACTTTGTGCCTCATTACAAGCTAGCATCATTGGTTGACAAACAGCCAGGATTCTATGTTTATTAGGCATGCCTAGCCATAAACGCTGTATATCTTCTCTGTATATTTTGGTTGCTTTTCTCACCTCAATGTTTATTTCCTGTAAACTCATAATTTCATTATGATTTAAAGGAATCCTATAGTGCCATGAAAACAAAGCCATTTTCCTGGCACTATTGGGTTAATAGGCCCCCGCCCAGAACCCAGACTACTTCAGTTAGCTGAAGTGGTCTGGGTGCCTACAGTGTCCTTTTAATAAAGGTGCTTTTGATGATGATTTTTGCACATATTCAGTGTTTTACATCGCTTGAGAAAAGGAATAGCATCTGTGCATAAAAATCACTACATTAAGATGTAGTGGTTTTTGGTGCTTACAGTGACCCTTTAATGCAGGCTTCCCCAAACTCCAGCCCTCCAGATGTTGCTGAACTACAACTCCCATGATTCTCAGTATATCTATTTCATTCATAGAATCACGGGGGCGGAGCTGGCGCCCAAATGAGCTGGACGTGTCTTGGAGCTGCTCTGTTACTTAACCCAAGAAAAGGTCTTCATAAACCGAGAATACCCTAATAACAAACCTCCACTGGATGCTGCCCGATCCCCGACGATATGGGGGAAAAAAAAAAACAAGAAGCTGCGTCCGGATCCAGGCTCGGGTTCTCAAGATATCGGCGCTTACATGCGGACTGCAGCGCGGCCGACACTCACCAAGATGGCGCCCGCAGATGCCTACACGCCTCTGTCCTCTGAGTAGGACAGCAGCACTGCCGACCTCTCCCCTCCACCGAAGTGGCGAATAGAGCCACTAGCGACCACAGCACTTAGGGACTCGGCCCCAGCCACAAGGGCAGACATTAAAGACCTGGTAGCAGAGATTCAAGCTATGTTCAAGGCGGACTTGGCGCCAATATGGGAGGCGGTATCCACCCTCACTACCCGCATGCACACAGTGCAGGAAGGTATGGTAGGCCACAAGCTCGCACAGACAGCCACAGACGCGGCCAGAGGAGTGCTGCAGAAACAGTGCGCAGATCATCAAGCCCAACTAGCAAACTTAGAAGACAAAGCCAGGGCACACAACCTAAGGATAAAGGGAGTGCCGGATACTATTTCAGACGCAGAACTCCCCCAGTACTGCAGGAAGCGCCTTGCCACCCTCCTCATGCCCAAGCAATCCAAACAGATGGTGGTGGACTCCTGCTTCAGAATCAATAAAGCGACCAATGCAACCCAGGAGGGGCCCAGGGAAGTTCTGCTCAAACTGGTATGTGACGCTGACCAAGGCATCATTATGGGGGCAGTTAGGGGTACTCCCACAGTGCCCTTTGAGGAAGCTCAGCTGGCATTCTATCGAGACCTTTCCAGACATACCCTGTCTTGGCGGCGCTCTATAAAGACCATAACCCAGATTCTTCAAGAGCATTCCATTGCCTACAAATGGGGCCCCCACAGACTACTTGCCAATAAGGCAGGAATAATGCACGCTATCTCGCACCCTGCTGAAGCCTCAACCTTCCTGCAAGCCCTCGGCCTGTCGGCAGCAAAGCCACAAACTACAGACCACCCAGCCTGGAATGTAGCAGGCATCATGCCATTTGTGCCCAGAGGAGCACCAGCAACAGCGGCACTGCCACCCTGAACTTTGGGACTGAGCTTGTCTATGCACTACCCTGTGCACGATACAACTCACAAAATCCTATAACTGTTTCCCTTCTTAAATGTTGATAATGTTTATATATTTTGCCTCTGTTTTTATGTTGCTGGCTCCGTAGGCCTTAGATATAGCTCTGAACCAAAGCATCCCCCTCCCCCCCACATCAGCACAGAGTTCCCAAGCGACACCTCTGCACAAGAAAAACCTGAGTACCTAGAGCGTGACCCTGGCCTCCAGCACAACAAAGCAGGAACTCACACCCAGCTTCGAGAGGTCCCATGCCCACTTATAGCCTAACTACGTGCCTTACAAATGCTTAGGTAATAAGGCGCAACACACATTGGCCACAAGGCACATATAGCCCAATACCAACGCCCCCCCTCTTCACAAGCCCAAGGACCACCCATAGGGAAACCTGGATGAATCTGCCTTTACTAATAAAAACTGAGTAGGCTAAGCTATGCGGCGAATGTATCCATGTACTGTATAAATCTTTTACCTGCTGATCACAAAATCTGTTATATTGTTTGCTGATACTCGCAAAAATAAAGATTTGAAAAAAAAAAAGTATCAGGGGAGTTGTAGTGCAGCAACATCTGGAGGGCCTGAGTTTGGGAAAGCCTGTGTTTAATGCATATTGTCCCATTCTGTTGTAATAACATAGATAATACATTCATAATTAATGCAAATAGAACAAAATGATACTCATGCAGTTTTGCATAACTTCTTATTTAGTGAATAGCTCCAATTAGAATAACACTTGAAGATGCAGGGTTTAGTTAACAGGGAATTTGTGCTCAAAGAAGATGTGACTTGATTGTGGAGAGATTGCATTGCAGATTGGTTTACTGTGAGTCTGGTGGAGGAGGGAATGTATTACGCTAAGCCTGGATAAGATGGATGTGACTTGCAGTACGTGTCTGCACTGTCAACATTAGGTTAGGGCACCATTATTACCTTTATTCGTAGACAGGGGTAGGCAGCCTTCAGCACTCCAGATATTGTGGACTCCCATCTCCCCTGATGCTTTGCTGGCATTATAGCTGTAAGAACATAATGGTAGTCCACAACATGTCAAAGATTGCCTACCCTCTGCTCTAAGGAGTACCAAGAGTTTTAATGTCCTGTGCAATTATGACCAGCACTGTAATGATAATGCACAGACTTAATGCAGCAGTATTATTTCAATATTGTAATTGAGTGCTCCAGTGTCAAATATATATATATATATATATATTTATTTTTAATTTTAAAAAACATAAAAATGGCACAGTGTAGGAATGCAATAAAATAATTGCTTCTCTGGAAGGTTATATTTTAATGCCCTGTGTATGTGTATTCTGACCACCTTCTTATAGTTTAAATACATCCATTCTCACAAAATGTAATAAATAAATTACATACATACACATCAAAAGCAGACAACAGAATTATTTATATTTAAATTCAACACAGTGATGAAAACTCTATGGAGTCCCCAAAACAGTGCAACAAAAAAAGATTTCATTATCGGATGTAACAAAAGCAGTAAATAAACCAGTTTCCATTTAAACCCTATACTGGTCCAGCCATTCTGAAATGGAATTTGGAACCAATGGTCTAGTCTAGTGACTCAACCATGGGGCCTGAAAAGACTTGTTGCTAGGCAGATAAAACCGATAATCTTTTTTTTCACATGCATGTTTAAATTGCTTTATTAACCTCATGCTGACCAGACTGCAATATCCATATACCACAGATACAATGTACTGTAATATGTTCATAATAAAAAAATGTGCTGAAGCATTGGATGATGGTAGAGCCCATTCTGGCATAACGGAGTAGGTACTGTACCAAAATCGGTCGCATAAACATTAATGCGGCATATTATAAACATATTTATATTGAAATTGCATTGTTTTATTGGGTCCTCCAATTATATTAAGCTATACAAACACACAACTCAACCCTGCTCATACAGAAAAATACACACGATTAATGAAATGCATGTACAATTCGATTCAACCGGTATCATACATGTAAAGACACAAACACACGATCACCTGGGAGCTATCCTTGTGATAGACTATCTCCCTGTCACACGCTGCCATCCTCCGGTGAAAGCCTCAGACCAGTCCCAGCCATCGGCACCTCATCCTCAATCTAAGCAATTTTCACCCCCGTGTGCACTGCACACTAGGAATTGTAGTTCTTCTCCCATTTACATATGCGCAGAAATAGCCTTCAGAAAACTCCACCTCCCACAGTGCTTTTCGTCTAGCTGTAGACCGCAAGGTAGACAAAAGGCGTCTGACTTCACTGCTACACCTGCTGCTACAACATCGGTATTGCAGCCTCAACTGATGAAGGAAATGTTCTTATATTTTCGCTCCTTTTATTGTAAATATTCGTATTGACATAAAAAATGTACAAACTTATCAGTGGATACAGTTGAGTATGTACAAAAGCAATACTTTAGTGTAACAAAAAGGATGTTTATATCATAATACTAAGATACAATAAACTGAATGTGAAACATGTGACAAGTGGTATATAAATAAAGATTTTTATTTATCACCAATACAATGACCATTTACTTTGCCAAGTCTTTCATATATTTCCAGCCTTCTGCTGTGTATTCACAAGCCTTGCTTGGAGCAGATGAAAGAGCTGATACAGACTTCTGGACTCCTGCAAGTAAACAAATAAAAGAGGAATCATTTGACAGACAGAATGGTTTGACAGACAGGCCTGACTCAATAATGGAGCAATGTGTTATGTAAGACACTCAGAGGTTTATTTCCTAAAGACTGAATTGTAGTGAACTAAAAAATGAAGTACTAAATTTAAGAACCAAATCGTTGACTCTTTTCCCCTCCAAATTATTACTAGTCACGGCTTAGCTGTTATATTCTAAATAATGCAATGTGGTTGGGGTCTGGGAGCCTAAATTAACCCCTTAAGGACTGGCCTGTTTTGGCCATGTTGTACGTTAAGGACCAGAGCGTTTTTAAAAACTTTTGTGGAGTTTGTGTTTAGCTGTAATTTTCCGCTCTCTCGTTTACGGTTCCCATACAAAATTATATATTGTTTTTTTTCAGGACAAGAAGGGCTTTCTTTACATACCATTATTTGTATCGTGTCATATATTTTACGTTAAAGAAAATAATAAAATATGGTGAAAAACTGAAAAAAACAAACAAACATGTTTTTGGACTTTTACTTGAAAAATCTTTTACTTATCTACAAAAGCTAATGAAAAAAAAACTGCTAAATAGATTCAAAATTTTGTCCTGAGTTTAAAAACACCCAGTGTTTACATGCTTTTTCGCAAGTTATAGGGCTATAAGTACAAGTAGGAAATTGCTCTTTCAATATATATATTTTTTTAATTTATCAATAGTGACATTGTAACACTGTTATCTGTCATAAATCCCCGAATCACACCTCACATGTACATATTTTTTTTTTAAAGTGGACAACCCAGGGTATTCAATATGGGATATGTCCAGTCTTTTTTAGTAGCCACTTAGTCAAAAACACTGGCCAAAGTTAGCATTAATATTTGTTTGTGTGTTAAAAATGCAAAAAACGCAAACTTTGGCCAGTCTTTGTGACTAAGTGGCTACTAAAAAAAGGCTGAAGGTACCCCATTTGTCTTCTTTTGCAAATGGTATGCCATCATGGGGGTAAATTCTCATTCCTGGGCTACCACACGCTCTCAAAGGCAACATAACCAATCTGACAAATTAAAAAAAAAAAAAAAGTAAAATCAAGCCTTAGATTTGACCCTGTAACTTTCAAAAACACCATAAAACCTCTACATGTGGGGTACTGTTATACTCGGGAGAATTTGCTGCACACAAATATTAGTGTTTCAGAACAGTAGAATGTATCACAACAATAATATCATCAGTGAAAGTCCTGATTGTGTGTGAAAAATGCAAAAAAACGTCACTTTCACTGACAATATCATCGCTGTGATATGTTTTACGGTTTTGAAACACTAATATTTGTGTTCAGCCAAGTCTACCAAGTAGAACAGTACCCCCCATGTACAGGTCTTAGGGTGTCATAGAAAGTTACAGGGTTAAACACAGTGCTAGAAAATTAAATTCTCTGTACTTTCGGCCTGGGTTGCCAGGCATGTCCCTCAAATTGCAATCAATAAAATTACTTAATTATACATACATACATACATACATACATACATATATATATATATATATATATATATATATATATATATATATATATCACACACACGTATATTTCGTATTATTTATACATATATATATCATTTCATTCTAAGTGTATTTTGAGATTATATATATATATATATATATATATATATATACACACACACACATACACACACACACATTTTTTTAAATTATTACTTTTACTTTTTATTTATTTTTACTTATTTATATTTTATAATATATACACACACACTATATATATATATATATATATATATATATATATACACACACATACATATATATACACACCCCCACACACACACACACACACACGTGTAATGTACCGTATATACTCGAGTATAAGCCGAGTTTTTCGGCACATTTTTTGAGCTGAAAAACCCTAACTCGGCTTATACTCGAGTCACTGTCTGTATTATGGCAATTTACATTGCCATAATACAGACTGGGGGCTGGCAGCGAGTGCTTACCTCTCCTGCAGCTCCTGTCAGCTCCCTCCTCCTCCGCGCCGGTCCGGTCAGCACCTCGGTCAGCTCCCAGTGTAAGTCTCGCGAGAGCCGCGGGGTCATAGTGCGGCTCTCGCGAGACTTACAGTGTGAGCTGACAGAGGAGCTGCACGGACCGGCGCGGAGGAGAAGGGAGCTGACAGGAGCTGCAGGAGAGGTAAGTAACAGCTCTGCCAGCCCCCCTCCTCCCCCCACTGAACTGCCAATGCAATGGACCACCAGGGAAGGAGAGCCCCCCTCCCTGCCATGTATCAAGCAGGGAGGGGGGACAAAAAATAGATAAATAAAAAATAATAAAAAAAATAATAATATAACAAAAAATAATATAACAAAAAAATTAAAATATTAATTAATAATATATAAATATAAATAATAATAAAAAAATAATTAAAAAAATAATATAACCAAAAAATTTTAAATAATAAATAATAATATTTTTTTATAAAAATGCCCACCCCCCACCAAGGCTCTGCAACACAAACACACACTGCATCACACACACACACTGCGCACTCACACACGCACACACACACACACACTGCGCACACACACACACTGCGCACACGCTCACACACACACACTGCGCACTCACACACACACACACTGCATTCATCATATACACACACTGTAAATAAATATTCAATTAATGTAATTTTTTTAGGATCTAATTTTATTTAGAAATTTACCAGTAGCTGCTGCATTTCCCATCCTAGTCTTATACTCGAGTCAATAAGTTTTCCCAGTTTTTGGGGGTAAAATTAGGGGCCTCGGCTTATATTCGGGTCGGCTTATACTCGAGTATATACGGTATGTATATATAAATAAAACACACTTCTATGACATACACACAATGAATTGAGGAAGGGTTGTCATATCGGTATTTAGATGAAAATACTGTGAAGTTTTTATGCATGAAACATCCAAAACATCCGGTTTTATATACCCTACCAAAAATTCACAAAAGCTTGGAACACCCACCGGGTCGACCAATAGTGTCTGCAAAAGAGGGTTTGATAGAGCCCATTGCACAGTTCATCGACTATTACATCAATAAACATATTCGGAAGCTCCCTACTTGTCTCAGGGACACACAACACTTTATTGATCAAATACGAAATATCGAGTTCACAGATAAAGATATTATCTTGGCTACATTAGATGTCCAAAGCCTTTACACAATAATACCTCATAAAGAAGGCATTGAAGCCATATCGGAGATACTGATAAACGACGACATGTACAAAGGCCCTCATATCCCATATCTTATGGATTTGTTGAATATAGCTTTAACTTGTAATTATTTTAAATTTGAAGATCAATTTTTTCTGCAAACCTCTGGTACTGCCATGGGGGCAGCCATGGCACCAGCATATGCCAATGGTTTTATGTATTGGTTTGAAAACAAGTATATTTTACCTAAGTACCAACAGTATATCATCAAATATCTAAGATATGTGGACGACATCTTCATCGTTTGGCAAGACTCATTAACCATGCTTGAAGACATGATTCAATATATTAACACTTTACCATTGCCGGTAGTGTTGACCCTGAATTGGCACAAGACCAAGCTTGAATTTTTGGATGTTACCATGTACAGAGAGGGAAACAACCTAGGCTACACTTTGTTTGAAAAACCACAGATCGGAATACTTTATTATCTGCTACTAGTTTTCATCCTCAACACGTAAAGGATTCCTTGCCCATTTCACAATTCCTACGGGCTTTAAGATATAACATTAATGCGGCGAAACGAGAACATCAAATACAAGAGATTTGGGACCGGTTCCTAGCGAGAGGTTTTCATCCCCGGACTCTCACGATTGCAAAACAAAAAGCCTGGCACAAGTTTAATGAAACAACTAAAGTGAACATCAGTGGGAACAAAAATATTTTTCTCCCACTCATATTTAATACAGTCACTCCACTACTGAAGAAAGCTATATATGCACACTGGAATATTCTCCAGATTGATCGTAGCCTTCCAGACAAGTTTAAATGTAATCCTATAATTAGCTATAGACGGAACTGCAACCGGAGAGATTTATTGGTAAAAAATGATCCACGCCATTGCTATGCCAAATCATCAAGTATAAAGAAAAAAGGATGTTATAGGTGCACAGGTTGCGTTACATGCAGCCATATGCTGACCGGATCCACATATGCCCACCCACACGGTGGGAAAAGAATTCCAATTAGCCATTATATCTCATGTACGACCACCCACGTTGTTTATATGATTATATGCCCATGTGGACTTCCATACATGGGGAAGACTGATATGACACTCAGAGACCGGATCAGAGGGCACCGATCCGGCATTACAACCGCATTTAGAGATCAAAAGACGGACAAGCCCGTGGCCAAGCATTTCTTGGCGGCACATCATCATTTACCTACCCTTCGTTTTATAGCCATGGATCATGTTCCTGTTTCACTGCGAAGAGGTGATAGAACTAAGCTACTTTTGCAACGGGAAGCCTATTGGATACATTATTTAGATACGTTGACCCCGAAGGGACTGAATGAAAATCTTGTTCTCTCGATGTTTCTTTAAAACACGTTAAATGGATATAGCGTTTTGAGAGATTATTCTTCCATTTTTTCGCTTTTTCTTTCTCTCTTTTTTCCTTTCTGTATGTTTTTATTTTGCCAAGTGCTATTTCTTTGAGCCACATTAATATTAGGAATTGTAATGGTAACCTCTGTATTTGCTCTAGGTACAATGCAAAAATGTAGATAAGTGAGTAGTATATGTATGACTTGGATCTCTGATTACAATATCTTTAATATATTATGATCGGTTTCATTCCGTTTCTTCGTAGCCCTTTCTATGGAGAGCTATTTCACTTATATTCACAAATTTAATAATTCACGCATCATTAATTTGCCACTATCTGCATGTTCACATGTTACATTTATCTCCATAGTTTAGGCTACTGTATCTATTTCCTCCATTCTATTATCCCCGGGATACTTCCTAGATACACTTGCAGATGTATATACTAGCGGTTACTATAGTTTGTTAGGTTGCTCGGCAACCACATCACTTACGTCCCACGCACACACTCAATGCATCTCTATTGGGTAGGTTCAGCGTCTCCTTGCAGAGCAGTGATCCAGGAAGCATCTCCAGTGGCTGACAGTGTCCCTAGGCAACAATGTAATCACTGCTTTTTTTCTCTGAAGGGATAGGCTATAGACATCAGAACAATTACATTAAGCGCTGTAGTTGTTCTGATGACTAATGTCCCTTTAACTATTAATAATTTTAAGATAATTTTAGCATAACCTATAGCTTTTAGTTGGCTATTAGGATTTGCTAATATCAAAAACATGACAGCTAACTACAATTCATTGTTTTGACAATAAAATCAGAATCAACTGACACGCTCAGCCAATGACCAAAGTTTGTATACTAATACAGAAGTATAAAGTTCTGTTTAGCATATTATTGTAGAGAGGATCCAGACACACCCAGATAATATTCAAGCCTTTTGTGAACACTGCAGTGGTCAGATTGTCCCTTTAATCCCCCAAGGACTGAGCCAATTGTACAAGTTGTGATCAAAACAAAACCTGGCTATATGTGGTTCAACCATAATTCACCCCTTTCATATTAAGTACACCCACACTTATATATCAATTTCTTCAGGAGAAAGGGGGCATAATATTTATATATTAAGTAATTTACTATGGCCACCATGGGGGCTGGTCGGATGGAACAACGGCTCCGACAACTTTCTGCCTTTTTAGGCCACGAAAACTGATTTACTGATCCTTCCAGCAGACCAAGTATGATGGGGCGGCACACGGAGAAGCACTGGACCTGGGGAGAGGCTCGCAGTATTTGTATATCTCGTAGAGATATACGTCGTCCCCATGGGATGAGGCCTACTCAGGTGGTGAGTGGGATGGACGGTCCAGGCCCTGTCTCCGCCCCCGGGCCGGTGGGGGTGATCCTGGCCCACACCCTGCAATCCCCTCCGCAACGGAGATCCCAAGACCCAGGCGAGCTGATAAATCCTGCCAACTCACATCAAGGAGCCTGCCATCTATCACCCCCCGAGGACTGCAATCCCCACAAACAGAGGGCAGGCCCCACGTACCTATCACTGGTAGCCTGATCGGTGGGGACCCAGAGCCACACCACAACGTTACATGCCAAGCCAAGGCTCTGTGATTCTTGCACCCGCACACTGCAAAGAGGGAGGAGGGGCTACAAGCAACGCAGCACCAACTCACCAGACCCGGCTGACAAACCCTCTGCCCGACTCAGGCAAACGGCACACGAGGCACAACCCCACTCCAGACTTCAGAACAAGCCCACAGCACTCACATGGCAACACTTACTAGCCGCAGCAGGAGGGATTCAAGGCGCCGGCAGAGGTGCACATCACTCCCCAACCCTCCACCTTCACAGAGTGGACACCGAACAACAATGACTTTGCATACCACCAAGGGCCACGCCGGGTGTGCAGATTCCTGCATCATTCCACTGCCGGGGACATTGGAGCTCAAATGTTTGTTGGTGGGGCGGCAGGGTGTTCTAATACTATAAGCTTGTACCATAGCATGTGTTTTGGTTTTTTTTGTATTGTTTATGTTCTTTTAGTGCTTACTCAATATCTCCCACTGTGGTGTTAAGTAGCAAACAACAGCACACATTACTAGGTGGGATCTAGGTAATATTTTAAATTTTCTTTTTTCTTAGGCATTATATAGGTACACAACCAAACAACTAGCTTGCCTCACACAGTATAAAGACACCTCTGCTAGTATAATAACCTGTCACACTACTTACTGTGCTTTCAATGCCTATATGCCACATCAAATACAAACTACGCACATACAATCTCAAGCACAACAAGTTTTGATATATGCATATCTAGTCTAGCGTGTTACAAATGCTCCCGTCTAATATCCTGCTACCCTCATGTTATAAAAAAAAAAAAAAAAATAATAGTAAGTGTGCTGTCTAAAATGCCACACATTGAAATGTCATGCAATTGCCTGTAGATGCGGTCGCGGCACTGCACGCTTGTTGTTCATCTATGCACAACAAAAAATAAAGAATTAAAAAAAGTATGAGAAATTGTTATTTTTCCAAGTTCTGCATGACATTTTAACTGTGAAGGTCATAGCACTGTTGGATTTTACTGAAATAAAATACACATTTGTATTCAGAAATTTCTCACGAGTACAAGTTTTATGGGTTTTTGGAAACTTACAGGGGCCAAGTGTATGGCTTTCCTATTTTCCATGTTTGCACATTAAAATTTGCCAGATTGGTTTGCTAGGCCTATGTTGCCTTTGAGACCGTATGGCAGTCCAGGAATGAAAATTAACTCCATCATGGCATACCATTTGTAAAAGTAGACAACGCAGGGTATGTCCAGTCTTTTGTAGTAGCCACAAACGCTTGCCAAAGTTAGCATTCAGATTTGCTTTTTGCAATTTTTTTTAAAATTTTTTTTTTACAAAAACTGCATTTTTGCTGGAGATATTGTCATGATAGGTTTACAGTTTTGAAAAACTCATTTGTGTATAGCGAAGTCTCCCGAGTAGAACAATAACCCCCATGTACAGGTTTTATGGTGTTTTTTAACGTTAGAGGGTCAATATAGGGCTTGCCCAATTTAGTTGCCTTTTGAGACCATTTGGAAGCCCAGGAAAGTGAATTAAACTCATCATGGCATACCATTTTCAAATGAAGACAACCCAGGGTATTAAAAATAGGGTATTTCCAGTCCTTTGTAGTAGCCACTTAGTCGAAAACGCTGGCCAAAGTTAGCATTTTTATTTTACAGGGTTAAATATAGGGCTTGCCAATTAAATTGGAGAGAAAAACACAAATAAGGGTGCGCCTAAGACAAGTAGAATGAGTGTATAAAAATATGTATCAGAGAGTCCAAGCAGCGATACCTAGAAAGTCCGAATATAAATAATCCACATATGCAGGAGGTAGTCCTAGTGCTACATAAAATGGTATGTGAAGTCCCAGATGTATATCCGCAGCTTCAAAATGGATATGTGAAGAAAACAGAAGACAAGGGAAACTCCAATGGTATAGTATGAACGGTAAAATAATATTGTATATAGAATAGTAGAACTACTCACAATATTCAGAGCTTATATCCAGCTCTGGTGTAAATGGCACGTAGTGGAATAATCCCCACTCAAGGATATACGTTGCTCCTCTTTTGTTCTTTAGCAGAGTACTTTGGTGGAGTAGTCCAGCTCGAGGTAAAAGAATAAAATATAGTGCTCACTGTATAGTTGATAAAATGTAAAAACAGAATAAAATATACTCACGGTATATAGAGCAGACGTACTGCTCGGTGGATGGCGTATGGGTGGTATAATCCCCACCTTAGGATTCTTGGTACTCCAATATGGACAAAAAAGTAGTAGTAGTCAGGTCTGAATAAAATAAACTTGCAAATAGTAAAATAATAAAATTATACTAAAAGAAGGTAATATAATACTAAGGTGGGAAGAGGAATGTGGCAACCAAATGTATAATAGCCAAATATTCCTTTATTAACACTTAGATTATATAAAAAGTTCCTATACGCGTTTCGCCACAATTTTTACATTTTATCAACTATACAGTGAGCACTATATTTTATTCTTTTACCTCGAGCTGGACTACTCCACCAAAGTACTCTGCTAAAGAACAAAAGAGGAGCAACGTATATCCTTGAGTGGGGATTATTCCACTACGTGCCATTTACACCAGAGCTGGATATAAGCTCTGAATATTGTGAGTAGTTCTACTATTCTATATACAATATTATTTTACCGTTCATACTATACCATTGGAGTTTCCCTTGTCTTCTGTTTTCTTCACATATCCATTTTGAAGCTGTGGATATACATCTGGGACTTCACATACCATTTTATGTAGCACTAGGACTACCTCCTGCATATGTGGATTATTTATATTCGGACTTTCTAGGTATCGCTGCTTGGACTCTCTGATACATATTTTTATACACTCATTCTACTTGTCTTAGGCGCACCCTTATTTGTGCTTTTCTCTCCATTGTATTCCAAGGGGCTTAGAGGGGATTCCCCTTTTCCATAGGTGTGCTGCCTTGCTGTCATATTCTCTGTTTTCCTATCAGCGCTGAACCTCCTTCCTGATCTCGATTACTTGCCAATTAAATTCTCTGGACTTTTGGGTTGGTAGGCAGGTCCCTCATTTTATAACTATTAATACCAAATAATTATGTAAAATTAATATACAGTATATACTCGAGTATTAGTCGACCCGAATATAAGTCGAGACCCCTAATTATACCCAAAAAAACTGGGAAAACTTATTGACTCGAGTATAAGACTAGGGTGGGAAATGCAGCAGCTACTGGTAAATTTCTAAATAAAATTATATCCCCAAAAAATTATATTAATTGAATATTTATTTAGTGTGTGTATATAATAAATGCAGTGTGTGTGTCTATGAGTGCAGTGTGTGTGTGTGTGTGTTTGATGCAGAGCCTTGGTGGGGGGTGGGCATTTTTATGAATTTTAATTATTATTTTAATATTAATTTAATTTTTTTTTTTTTTATATTATTTAAATTTGTATTTATATTTTTTTTGTCCCCCCTCCCTGCTTGATACATGGCAAGGAGGGGGGGGGGGGCTCTCATTCCCTGGTGGTCCAGTGGATGGGCTGTGTAGGAGGGGGTCTGGCAGCGAGCTATTACTTACCTTTCCTGCAGCTCCTTTCTCTCTCCTCCGTGCTGGTCAGCTCCCCTGTAAGTCTCGCGGTCTGAGTACCACGCGGAGCGTAGCCACGGGCTCTGACCCCGCAGCTCTCGCGAGACTTACAGTGGAGCTGACAGGGGAGTTGACCAGACCAGAGGAGAGAGAAGGGAGCTGACAGGAGCTGAAGGAAAGGTAAGTTACAGCTCTCTGCCAGCCCCCAACAGGACCGCCGGGCTTGTAATGAGCCCGGCGGTCCTGGTCTGTATTATGGCAATGTAAGTTGCCATAATACAGATATTAACTCTAGTATAAGACGAGTGAAATGTGCTCAAAAAACTTGTCTTATACTCGCGTATAGAATATATATATATATATATATATATATATATATTACATATTACAATGTTAAACAAAAATCTGCACACCAGTCAAGCCATTAGACTTGCTTTTCTCACAGAAAATCACAAATCTGCAGTGATGTTACTACTGCAAAGGATTCTGGGATGACTTGCATATGCAAATTAGTTTAAAGAATCACATTTTGCCTCATTCCAATTCAAACATGGATTCCTTTGAGTCTGTGTTTGCTGTATACAACAGCTTTGAAACACAACTTAGGAAAAGCCAGTTATGGACAGCGGTTTATTGTTAATGCAAATCATCAGCATGAGGTTGGTTATTGGTTTGCTTATTGAGGCTTGGTAGAGCTTGGGAAGAAAAAAAACAAAGGTTATGGTTGGGGGAAAATGTGATTAAAAACCCCTTTAGTAATGTATTAACTATCCACTTACTTCAGGTGGAACGGGTTTTCATACACACTTTTCCCCACCACAACTCTCTTGGTATGTACTTTACAAGTAACGCCAAGCTTCCATAGCAAGCCAGTAACCAACCTCACGTTGATGAGTTGCATTAACAATGAAACGGTTGTCCAAGTGTGGTTCACTGGCTTTTCTCCTCTTCCTGAGTTGTGTTTTAAAGCTGTTGTATACAGCAGACACATACTCCAAGGAATCTATGTATAAAGTGGAATTAGGAGGCAAAAATGTGGTTCTTTGTTGAGCTAATTTGCATATGCCTACCCAGAATCCCTTGCAGTAGTGAGAGCACTGTTAAAGTGAGATTTCTGTGGGAAAAGCAAGTCTTATGGCTTGACTGGTGTGTGTATTTGTGTTTAGCAATGTATTAACTAATATATATATATATATATATATATATATATATATATATATCATAAAATTTGTATCTTGTAATACCTTTTGTATTGATCTAACATAATGGTTTAATGACAGGGTTTTGGGAGAACCCCCCTTTCTCAAGTCTGAAGCTTCTCCTGAAAACTTGTCATTAAGAAAATTCTGTTAGTACAATAAAAAAAATGTAAGATACAAATTTTATCTGTCTTTTACATCTACATCACTGGACTAATGCGGCTACAATCTCTACTTAAAGGACCACTATAGTGCCAGGAAAACAAACATACTCGTTTTCCTGGCACACCCTCAGGGTCCCCCTCCCGCCCAGCTCTCCGCCCCAGCGCTGGGCGGAGAGCTCTCCTCCTCCGATCCTCCTCTTCTCCTCCCCGTCGGCTGGCTGTGAGCGCATTCAGCCGGTCACATAGGAAAGCATTTATAATGCTTTCCTATGGACGCTGGCGTGCTCTCACTGTGAAAATCATAGTGAGAAGCACGCAAGCGCCTCTAGCGGCTGTCAATGAGACAGCCGCTAGAGGAAATAGGGGAAGGCTAAACCCATTCATAAACAAAGCAGTTTCTCTGAAACTGCTATGTTTATGAAAAAATGGGTTAATCCTAGCTGGACCAGGCACCCAGACCACTTCATTAAGCTGAAGTGGTCTGGGTGCCTAGAGTGGTCCTTTAAACACACAGGAGCTCTCAAAAGTGAGTACACCCCTGACATTTTTGTAAATATTTTATTATATCTGTTCATGTGACAACACTGAAGAAATGACACTCTGCTACAATGTAAAGTAGTAAGTGTACAGCCTGTATAACAGTGAGTACACTTAGGGGTGTACTCACTTTTGTTGCCAACGGTTTAGACATTAATGGCGGTGTGTTATTTAGACGGGACAGCACATTTACACTGTTATATACATACACACATATACATATATATGTGTATATACACACAAAAAACAAAAAGGTTATGGTGGGAGGAAAAAAAAAAATGTGATTGAAAACCCCTTCCACCTGAAGTCTGTGGATAATTAATATTATGTAACAATGTAAACAAAAATCTGCACCCCAATCAAGCCATAAAACTTGCTTTTCTGTGGGAAAAGCAAGTCTTATGGCTTGACTGGTGTGCAGATTTTTGTTTAACATGATATTTAAAAAAAAAAATAAAAAAAATGATATAGATATATGTATTACGTGTGTATTATATTATTATGCATATATAGGAAATAAGTGTGTGCATATAGTTGTGTTTCACAGCAGACACATTCTCCAAGGAATCCATGTATAAAGTGGAATTATGAGGCAAAAATTCTTTGTTGAGCTCATTTGCATATGCCTACCCAGAATGCCTTGCAGTAGTGAGAGCACTGTTAAAGTGAGATTTCTGTGGGAAAAGCAATTCTTATGGCTTGACGTGTGTGCGTGAGAGTGAGATTATATATATAGCGAGATTCAGCCTATCAGGATCACCTCTTTGGTCAGATGACTAACCAGGAAATAGCAGTGAATCAAATGGACGTTTGATTTTTATTTTTACATTTTAGCAGCCTGAGGGACTGCCTGACCGCTCAGACAGTCCCCCTGCAGGTAGCGCCAGTCCCCCTGCAGCCATGTGATCACATGGCCCTAGAGGGCTGGACGGCGGGAGGACGGCTGGGCGTACTAAGACGCCCTCCGGTGTTTAGGGCCACCCTTCCATAGTACACCCGCTGTCCTTAAGAAGTTAAATGACAACGGAAAAATCCTTAGGTTTTTAATATTTTGTTAGGTTTACTTATTCTCTATAAGTAATAAAACATGTATTTATGCGTTATGAAAAATAAATACTTTATCCTGCAACTTGGTTCCAATCAAGTTTAAGAGTTATCATGCAGAAAACTGTATGACAAAAAGAAAACCACCTCATCTGCCAGGAATCCATGTCAGTGCTGTAGTCTTGCACATGCACCAGAGTAAAATAAATGGCTATATGAAATTCCAACAGTCTTTATGTGTATTTCATAAAGATTTTAAAGATGTGTATTTCATAAAGATTAATGTGAAGCCCTGCGACTGATTCTGAAATCAACATAAACCTATTGTGAATCGGATTAGAAATGTTCCACATGACTCAGTAAAAACCAAGGTTTGTGCTGTGTTATTGAAATAGCGAAAGAGACACTTCATTGCCAAAATAAAAAGGGATTTTTAGTACATATAACCCCAATTAAAATATACAAGCATTTATTTTGCGGTTACAAAAAAATAAAAATAAGCTTTCAAAAGCCTGTGCAGGTACTCCAGACTTTCAGTCTGTTGCAAGGAATACTACGGAGCCTTTCCTAAGCTGCTCAATGAGTATTAATACAGTTCACCAAGAAGTACAGCAGACCTGCCACCTCCTTTAGCTCTGTTGGGCTAGTGCTCCAGATTAACAACCAGGGAGATGCATCTGCACCCACGAATTAAAGTGCCAATTTCTTTTATAAACTGTAACAAATGTGACACACATTGTGTAGTGTTCCTTTAAGAAAAGTGGGCAAATTAAAAATCCATTTATGCAGGATTGACAAAGACCCTGACGCATAAAATTGGTTTGTGGTTAACTTGGCATTGAGGCGTAAGGATCCCTAACTAAGAAATACAATCCAAATGGCTAGCTTCTTGCTTAAGGAATTTCAGAGCCAACAAAGATTGTGTATTTTGCTTGAGGAAGCTGTGAATGTCTGTATTTCGAATTATGAATAACAAAATAAAACCTACAAAGTGGTAATACAGAATGGTGGAGAGTCCTTCCAAGCAATCCAGATTTGAATCCATCACACTCGAGGGGTTGATCCTCCCTGAGTGTAATAATTATGAGTGGTATTTTATCCTATTAGGATTTCAGTTTAACATTGATACATTACACAGTTTTGCACTATACCTTTTTTGTTTGTTATTTTTAGGTTTTTATGTTCAAGATATAGGAGCAAGTATATTTAAATATGTTTTATATGTAATATGTATTTTTATATTTAGATACGGTTTCTTTTATTTAATGAGATTATATATATATTTGTGCTCGGAATTTAATATGTAATGGATAGTGAAATGGGATGAAAGTTGGTTGTGGTGTGCCGAAACCAACGTCCGAGTGGGCCTGTAAATAAAAGAGGGCAAAAGAGAAGTACGAAAAAACACACTTTATTGCATTTATTACATAACTAAATTCTTGAAGGCTTGACGGAGTTCTTTTTCTGGTCGTGGAATGTACGTGTTGTATATAGAGGATTTCCAGCGACCCAGTCTCTTAATGATGTGGACCAGGGTGTTTGTACTAGAAGCTGATGAAGCGGCTCCTATGCGGAAGGAATGCCCGGAGAACGAAGCTGGGTTGTAACCCAGTTTTCCCAATAAGATTCTAACGTGCGTGGTGAATTTTGCTGTAGTGAGTGGGTGCCCTTGTAGTTGTAAGAGCGGTGAGTCTGGTAAGTGTGCGTTATGAGTTGACTTTAGGTGGTCTAGTGCCTTAACAGGGCACCAAGCATTATCTGTTGGAAAGAGAGGAATGATAGTGGGGTGTAGTGAATGATTAGTTTTGGTAGACGGGATCGTGAGAATGTAGTAATCGTCTACTTTTGTGAGTTGTGAGGTTTTAAGGCTGTGTGTGATATCTCCTTGACAAACAATGGTAAATTCCCTAGGTCTTAGGAACCCATAAAAAGCTAAATAGATAGCAGATTTGATCACCAGGTTTGTGTTGGGATCAAATGGGGATTCGTCAAGGAGATTACTAAGTAATATAAAGATAGGCCCATCTATCGGAAGTCTGGTGGTGAGAAGTGGAACCGAAATTTTAGAGATACCCTTTAAGATTTTCTTGATGGGGTATAATGACAAAAAGGGGGTGTTAGGGAAATTTGTGAGGCTGTGGTGCTGCACCCCCGTGAGGTATAATTTAATTGTATTGTGGGAAAGTTTTAAATGTAAGTGGCAAAAGGAGGCAAAAGCCACCATAGTTTGTGTAGAGAAATCGCCTTGTAATCCGAATTCAGCTGTAAATTTGTTGAAAACAGTAAGTGCCCTACTGTAGGTGATAGTTGTGTTAGGTGATGACAAAAAAAGGGGAGCGATCTGTGGAGATCAACGAAAATTTTTAACAGGGCTTGCACATACAGATTAGCTTGCACATACAGGAATGGTATAACATTGTGTGAATAGAAATTTGGTAGCACCTCTAAGTAAGATTGCAGCTACTTGCTAGAGTTTAGTGCAGAGAAGCTAAATATTATACAAAACCAGCAACTACCATGAAAACCACTAGGTGGCGGTAACAGCCCACTAAACTTTGCCTGTTGTAACTGAGACATGAAAATAATAATGGAAAGAATGAATGACAGTTTACTACCAATATGTCATGCACACTAGTAAAAAACTGGCATCCCTTACACACACATTATAAAAGCAAAGTTATAACAGCAGGGACTTAACCACAAATGGATATATGTGCCCCTATTAGCCAGAGTAACGTTTGGCTTGTGGGTAGTTTTACCGTGAACCTGAGTCCGTGGGGGGGGTGTAGGACCCCCCCAGACAGATGTACGAAACCGACCACCTAGATGCCGAAGTGTGGGGACCGTGGGTGGTCCCCGGTAAGATTGCCGCCATGCGCGTTCCGGCCCCCGGATAAGACCACAGTGCGGCGTGGAGGGGACCGGAATGTACCGCAAGTGTGACTCACGGTTTAGCAGCCAGGTAGCCGGACCGCCGAAAGACCGGAGGATTCTGCCGGAGACTGCAGCTGCTACATAGGACGCCCGGATCGGAAGTCACGCGAACCGGAAGTAGATCAGGAACACTTGAACTCGAGCATCAGAGGTGAGTAGGGGCTGGGAGCTTAAGTAGGGGACTTACTCCTCCCACAAATTCAGGTCTAATGGCCTTTCTACATATACACACACACACACACACACACACGTCTGTATGGTTACTGCACTGAAGTAATATTTGTGCTTACTTCACTAGAAAAGAGTTGTTGCAAAACATGTCTACTGAAGTAGAATTTGCACAACATATACTACTTTGCGCCACTGTTTCACCTTCATTGGTCATTTGTGAGTATTGCAAAATATTAAGGAAACAATCAGTTTTAGATAAGAATGTGTAATTTGGTTGGTAAACTGGAGCAAAATTTGTTTCCATTTTTCATTACCCCAATTCCAGGACTCGCAGATAGAGAAGTCAAGTTTTGGTGGAGAGGGCAGCTGTAAGAGATGTGAGAATAGATATTAATAATAAATGCAGATAAGATTTCTTTGTGCATGCATACACATATCATGAGTAATAATCCTTCAAAAACATGGGATGCATAAGTTGCATATAAAATTATTCTCAAATTTATTGTCTTTAGATTGTTCTTTACAGATAACACACAAAAGATAAATAAATGGAGAAAAAAAAAAAAAAACAACAATGTTGCAGAAATTAGTTGTTTCACTTATTTATATACATTACACAATGTGTAGGAAAAGGGCCAGAAGAGGGGCTGAATCTTTTTCTACCCTAATAGTATGGTGGTGCTGGGGGTGGGTGATGACAGTGGTAAGATCATCACCAGTGATGATGGAAAAGCTTTTAAGAAGACAGGACGAGACAACCTAAACATATTTTAAAGGAATTTATAACTTTCAAAACAATTACATTTCAAGAAGAGGAAAACATACTGTCACTTTTTTTTTGTATCATTTTGCCAATAGAAAAGTACATGGTTTAATCCTTATCAAAGCCTGTCCTTCATAATTTTTCAGATAATACACTAGCATCCCTTTCCATGCAATATTTTATCCTGGTTGCAACATATCAGTGTAGATGCACAAGTTCATTATTGTAAAGTACAGTAAGTGCGACAAGAAATAAATATGCTTACTAAAAAAAATACCATTGTATTTATTGGCAATTTAGAGTTTACAATTACTAACAGAGAAAGCAATATCAATGTAAGTAGACATATGTCCGCACACACATTGGCTTTGTTAAAACCAAAAAGTTTTCAAAGGGCTATTGTGGTACGCACATACATCCCAGTAAATGCCCACTACCCTTTCAACTATGTCTCTCTGTTTACTATTCAGAAGTCCTGCCTACATTGATGGATATCTGAATTAATCCTAAATGACTAATTATTAATTATTATAAAAAAAAATAAAAAATAGAATGATGCAATGAGATGCAAGGTTATATTAATCCAGTAACATGTAGATCTGAATTAAAGGGACACTACAGTCATAAGTAGAACTACAGCTTATTGTTTTTGTTCTGGTGAGTATAGTCAGTCCCTTATTGCTTTTGCAGTAAACACGGTTTATTCAGAGAGAATGCAGTGTTTACATCACAGCCTAGTGATAACTCCACTGGCCACTCTTCAGATGGCTGCTAGAGATGATTCTTGTGGCAGTGTGTGCAGCACTGTCATTCAGTGTCTCCTCCCTCTGCATGGAGACACTGAACATTAATCATAGAGATGCATCGATTCAATGCATCTCTATCAGGAGATGCTGATTGGCCAGGGCTCTGTTTGACATGTGCTGGCTTTGCCCCTTATCAGCCTCCTTGACAGTCTCAACCAATCCTATGGGGAAGCACTGTGATTGGCTCAGACCACCACTTCTGATTAGGTCAGCCTAACAGGCAGATCAGAGGCAGAGCCAGCAGCTGCAGACTTGAATGCAAGCAATATTTTACTATATTTAGAGAGGCAAGATGGGACCAGATGGTGGTTTTACCACTATAGGGTTATGAATTACATGTTTGTGTTCCTGACCCTATATAGTGTTCCTTAAATGAACTATTATTAATATAATTGTTGGCATTGATATAGCATTGCTTTACAAAGTTATAAAGGGGTGAATTTAACAACAAACGAGAAACTATTACATATTTTTTTACAAACAACATGTTGCACGAGTATTAAAAAAAAAACATATTCTATAGAATATGTAAAATTAAATAAAAATGTAAAAGAAGAGAGAGAGAAGAGAGAGAGGGGGAGAGGGGAGGGAGAGAGGGAAGGGGAGAGGGAGAGAGGGAGAGGGGAGAGGGGAGAGGGGAGGGAGGGAGAGAGGGAGAGGGGGAGAGGGGAGAGGGGAGAGGGGAGAGAGAGGGAGAGGGGGAGAGGGGGAGAGGATTTGTTGTAGAACTTGTTTTATATTGGTGCAACATGTTTGTATTATTTGTTCACTTCTTGTTGGTGCTTAAATAGGTCCCTAGTTTGGTCTACCTGCACTAAAACTTCCAGCACTTTGCCTTTCTTTTGCTATTTTTGTGATTACACATTTTGACAGGAATACTAGATTGCTAGAGGAGATAGAGTATAAACACACAATAGGAAAGGCAGCGTGGGGATATCAAAGTCACAGGGTGGGAAAGTATCTCTCCAGGTGCGGTAAAAAAAAAAACCAAGTAAACTCCGTAATCATACTAAAATAAAAAACAATGTTTCTGGGAGAGGGAGAGGGAGAGGGAGAGGGAGAGGGAGAGGGAGAGGGAGAGACAGACTAATGTAGCGTAGTATTTAGTATAGTTGATTAGTTACAAACAACAAAGTGCTTAAATGCTCACTCACATTTATTGGAGCTTACATACAAGCTCCAGTAATATCGGCATGTATTCTACCCACTATTGGATACAGGTATAGGTCAGTCTTGTATCTCAGAGTAGAACATGAAATGTTGGAGTAAAATCCAATAGTGCAATATTATAACTACAGTGTACATAAAGTGTCAAAGAATATAAATTGTATTCTCACACTTTACGTGACACTGTATGTACACCGTATGCAAGCGTCAAAAAATGTGGCTTGGCATTTAAGGCTAAGCACCTTGTTTGTCACTAACCAAGTATACTAAATACTGCACTATTAGTATTCGTTTTATTTTAATTTTTTAGTTATTTGTTGTAGAACTTGTTTTATATTGGTGCAACATGTTTGTATTATTTGTTCACTTCTTGTTGGTGCTTAAATAGGTCCCTAGTTTGGTCTACCTGCACTAAAACTTCCAGCACTTTGCCTTTCTTTTGCTATTTTTGTGATTACACATTTTGACAGGAATACTAGATTGCTAGAGGAGATAGGGTATAAACACACAATAGGAAAGGCAGCGTGGGGATATCAAAGTCACAGGGTGGGAAAGTATCTCTCCAGGTGCGGTAAAAAAAAAAAACAAGTAAACTCCGTAATCATACTAAAATAAAAAACAATGTTTCTGTGTCTAGCTGGACAGGAGTTAACAATCCACAACCAATTAAAATTTACAGAATTCCCATCATTGACCTGTAGAACATTTAATCAAACATGGACAACATTAGTTGGCTGAAAGCATGTCCATGTTAGCCAAATGTTCTCACCCTATGTCATCTAGGCTGACACTGACTTTAGATGTTAATGGATTCCATGTATGACTTTACTTATTTTCTTTGAATGCATTCCTCACCTATACAATGTATAGATTGTGAATATCATTCAAGGCAATGCAGATGCCTGTCTGCTAGAAAGCCCTCCTACCGTTTTTTTTTACTGGCCCAGTTTGATTATATGGCAGTGCACACGCGTCATTGGTATAGCGCCATGTTGCATGAAAATCTGGGAATTTCTCACATTGCCAGTCTAATGCACAGCTCTAAAAGGATGAGATTTACAGCACATTAGCCCCCCTCCTCCATCCAAGCCGGCAGTAGCCTTTGCATAAAAAGAGTGATATCAAATGTCACTCCGTTAATGGGCATCTACATTAACAGGACACTGTACCAGCCTTAGGGAAAGCCTTCAAAACAGTAACTACGCGCCCACAAATGAGGGTTATGGTGGTGCGGAAATTCCTGGCAAAAAAGGGGGAGTATATTGGAAACCTGATGAAATTCCATTGCAAGACAAAACACATATTACAAAAAAAGTGTACATCTAATTTATAAGATTTAGCTATAGTTAAAATTAGGCAATATGTTAATTCCACATTATAAATGTGACTTGGAGAGATGCATACTCTCCGGTTATATAAAAATGATCTTTACAGTTTGATATTAAACTGAGGGATTGTACCAGAGCAATCTTTGTAACAAATCACTCTAGTGAGATGCAATAATAATGCTGCATACAGTACCCATTTAAAGCACACCAAAAATCATGATTAAATATGCACCTTACATTAATTCTTTCTTCCTGCATTCTTTCAAAGCAATCCTTGTATTTTGTAAAAATACTTGCTCTAAACCTCACAATTCCTTAGTGGCTTGTATAGGCTCTCGTTAGTTTCCAAAAGAGAGATTCTGTATTTGCAGCATGCAATACATACTAAAAGTATATTAATGCAGTTGTCCAGCTAGTAGATGCTGTGCTGCCACGTGTCATAAATTATTAGAGGCTGATAAACTATTTACATACATTTCTGCTGAGCATGGGTTCACTTAAACGACACAGTGCTTTGTTAAAAGAACCCTACAATTGTTGCAAATAAATACATTAAATTGTAAAGTTATTTTGTTAGTTTAGATTTATCACTCCCCACTATTTTCCTAAATAAATACATTACTTTCCTCTAACCTAGAGGTGAAATCATCCGCTTAAATGAACACTATAGGAACACAAACATGTATTCCTATACCTATGGTTTTAAAACAACCATCTAGCCCCCCTGCTCCCTCCACCCTTCCTAAATATAGCAAAATCATACTTTTACTCCACTCTGCTGCTGCTTTTTCCCCTGATTTGCCTGATTGGCTGACATAATCAGAAGTGTTGCTCAACACCAAATCACAATGCTATCACATAGGAAAGCATTGGATTGGCTGAGATAGCCAAGGAGGCAGATCAGGGTCAGAGCCATCACAAGACAAACACAGCCCTGGCCAATCAGCATCTCCTCATAGAAATGCATTAAATTAATTTATATCTATGAGGAAAGTTCAGTGTCTCCATGCAGAGTGTAGCACCTCTAGCAGCCATCTGAGGAGTGGCCAGTGGAGGTATCCCTAGGCTGTAATGTAAAGATTGCCTTTTCTCTGAATAAACAGTGTTTACTTCAAAAAGCATGAAGGGAATAATTATACTCACCAGAACAAACACAATAAGCTGTAGTTGTTCTGGTGACTATAGCTTTAACAAAGCTCTGGTGCCCTACCCGAAGATCATCACTAGCGATTATCCCCCAGCCAATAACATTATTCTTAAAGAGAAGTGGGACACAGTGACGCATACACAGCAATTGGCCATCAATGCTTCTCTATGAGCAACCCTCACTTTTACTTTGAACAAACAAGCAGGGAAGAGAGATGTTACTAAGGATAGTTTACAAATGTGCTGATTTCCCTTGAAATAATCAATTTTCTAAAATAAGATAAAAGGGACATGTTCTTAACCCCTAAAGCACTTCAGTAAGCGGAGGTGCTTAAAACGTCTGTAGAGTACTTCAAAGAACACATATTGGCAAAGAAACCTCAGCTGTTTCCTGGTACATGCATAAACTGCAGGTATTCAGCAAAGAAGAGAACTATAAACTGCATCCAGAAGGGGTATATCAGCTTCAGAATGAACTGCTCCCTTCAACCCAACTTGTTCTAACTGTTGAGGTCCTGTCACGGAGGCTAACTTGCTAAATATTAAATATGTGCAGTAAGTACATTGACTCTCATCTGCTTTAATAAACCCATCCATACCTGCCAGCCAAAGTAGTCTGCCCATTCATTTAAAGCAGGGGGCACAGCAGCAACCATCTTCTTTAAGACTTCCTCTCCCTGTGTGCCACTGCCCAGCAGCCCCTGGTCATAGGCCACATATACTGCTCCTCCTGCTATACATGTTTTTGTAGTAAATCTGCACAAAAAATAATAAAATTAAAAAAATAAAATAAAAAAAAAACACAACACGAAGGACTATGCAAATAACGCATCGACACTAAGATAACTTACAACCCTTTAGGGGCATCATATGACAATAGCAATAGTTCAGCAGAGCGAACAAGGACAGTGTATAATAGTGCTATGGTTAATCCTAATAACTCTACCCCCCGCAGAATAATAAGGTCGCACATACCACGCAGCAACTTTCATATCATAGAGGGGGAAATGGACAACAACCTAAGTTGTGATCGCATTCACACATACTATTAACGTAATGACATGAACACATTGCAGTCATGTAGACAATTGTTTATTCTCTCTGCCAAGTGTTACAACAGAGATCTCTTCCTCACTCACTTCAGCAACCTCAGTACGGCAGGAGCCATCTTTCTCTTCACCAAGGGCACACACTCAGGCTACACCACAGTTATACTTCCGGTCTCATAAGGAGCGCAAAGTATCACGGAACTTGTAGTCTGTTCCTCTGGCTTCGATAGACTAATGTTTCATGGAGAAGGAAGTTAAAGTTTTAAGTTATAGCTGTATGATTCGCTCCATCCTCTTTTTTTTGTTGTTTTTGTTTTGTTTATTTAATGGCAAAATGTTTATGCTTTGCCTGAGATCTATTACAAGATCTGTACACAATATTGTTATTTTTCTCAATCTGTTTTAGGAATTTGCATTCACTGGTTGGTTGGTATAAGGAATGCCTGTTGTGTGGCTCCACTTTAAAGGGACACTCCAGGCACCCAGACCACTTCTGCACAATGGAGTGGTCTGGGTGCCAACTCCCACTACCCTTAACCCTGCAACTGTAATTATTGCAGTTTTTATAAACTGCAATAATTACCTTGCAGGGTTAACTCCTCCTCTAGTGGCTGTCTCCTAGGGTTTATAGCACAGATTTTCTGTGCTATAGCGTCGCTGGACGTCCTCACACTATGCGAGGACATCCATTGTCGCTAAAATTCCCATAGGAAAGCATTGAAAGCATTTTCAATGCTTTCCTATGGGGAGGTCTAAGGCACGTGCGCAACATTACCGCCGGCGGGCGTGATCAGTCTCCCCAGCCGTCTGACATGGTGACGGGGAGGAGCATGGGCGGACCAAGAAGCAGCGCCGAGGGACATTGTCGCTGCCTCTGGTAAGTCACTGAAGGGGTTTTGACCCCTTCAGCAACCGGGGATGGGAGGCGGGAAGGAGAAAGGACCTGCAGTGCCAGGAAAACAGAGTGTTTTCCTGGCACTGGAGTGTCCCTTTAAATGTAAAACATGACAAGGTACAAACTATTCAAATAAGTTTTAAAACATAAATACATGTAAAATGCAAATCATCTAAGTATCATATTGTATGACTAGTGTTCGAGGCAGGTGTTTGTAGTGTGTACTGTAGTGTGTACTCTTTGTGGTGTAGTTTCATATTGAGTGTGGTGTGGGGGTGCACGGTTTATTTGTGGTGTAAGCATTTGTGAAGGCAGAATAAAAATAACCTTTTATTGAAGGGGCGGAGCTTAAGCCATTCTTGCATGCTCCTCTGCAAATGCCATAATCTACAGAATATCTCTAAATTCCATGCCCATCCAGCTCCAAAAAATTACTAGCAAGACTCCTCAACTCATTCTGAATCGATAGATGGCATTCTTTGTGGCTCCCAACCAGCCCAAATGGAAGCAGAAAACCAGGGGCCTACCCTACACTAACACTCCCAGGCCTGGAGGCACTCTTTAGCGGCACCGCGGCGAGAAGAGCGTGGGAGGAAGCTTCCCTTGCGAAATCTGATCCACCTGCCCACTGCCAGCCATGGGCTACTGCTCACAGTGACCACAACCCGCGACAGACAGAAGGGATATCGGGGCCCTGCTACAAAGGCCCACGCAACCCAAAACCGCTCCCACAGAAAACCCTGCGCCCACGCTACCCAAAACCGCTCCCACGGAAATCCTGCACTCCACCACCCACACTCACCAACCTGAGCATACTGAGCTGGAGACCTCCATGGAAACTCCATGGAATAGAATATCCACCACAGCCTAAAAATACAGCTGACACTACTCCACCCACCAGGCAAGACCTGAAAGTGCTGCTGTCAGACTTCCACAAAATTCTGGGGGTGGAACTAGTTCCCATCAAGAAAGATATGCAAGCAATCACAGAAAGAGTGCTGGCATCTAAAAAAGACATCACAGACCTGCATTCTTACCTGTCCAAGCTCCAAGACTCAGTGCAGCAAGTCTGGACATTCCAGAGAGCCATGACTGCACAGTTGACAGCCAAGGAAAAACGTCAGCGGGGCATACATAAAAATAAGGGGCATTCCTGCAGAAATCACACCGGACGAGCTGCAGCACTACACCAGACACCTACTGGCCACACTTCTGCCACAATCTACAGTTAAGAAACTGGCCACTGACGAGATATATTGCTTACCCACCTCAGCAAAGGCACCTTCAAACATGGCCTGCGACGTGATAATCAGATGCCTAACAGTCCGTGACAAGATACAGATCATGTCGCCTCTTAAAGGTAAAACACCTCTGGCCTTTGAGGGCGCTACCTAAACGTTCTTCCAAGACCTAACAAGAGCTAATCTCATGTGGCGTAAAACTTTCAGCCCTATCACAAGTGGCCTAAGAACGGCAGGCATCACCTACAGATGGGGGACAAATGGTGGTGAACTGGAACGGAACCCAGCACACACTCACCTCAATTGTGATGGAATTCCAGTAAAATAAAAGTTTAGCAGGCCAAGATTGCCACAAGGCATATGAAGGTACATGTGTTTGTAGTATCAGTTAGTTAGTTACATGTAGCTAAGATACTGTCATCACTGTACTGAGCATGTGCAGGAATGCAGGAACTGGAATTACGCGTCCCTCTCCTTTGTTTCAGATGAGCCACGTGGTTAGCCCGGTGGATGAGTTTAGACTCTATTAATTGATTAGGTTAAGGGTATGTGTGGGCGTAGCTAATTATGGGAGGAGCTACAGTGCTACATAAGGAATCTACTCTATGTATTCAGTGCTCAGATCTTTGCTGTTTTTGGTGACATAAGTCCCTCTGAGTCCCGGTCAGTGTATCGAATAAAGATCTCTTCCTTCCTGAAGAAACCTGTGTCCATCTCTCTGTGCTTGGCCTCCGTCAGTTTCCCGGTAACATCTTTGGTGCATTGGCCGGGAAGCTCGTCAACGGTGGCTAGGAAGCAGAGGCGTGAGACGGTCTATCTTTGCGCACGTTCTCTACTGCTGCACCCCTGAACTTCTGCGTGGACCTCCCTTCGTCTCGGCGCCACTGGTCTGTTGTCCAGGAGATCATCGGCCTCTACGTAGTAAGTGCTGGGGTGTCCCTGTCGATGAGTGTGAACTCAGGTTCAGGAACGAGGAGGTAAGACGACTACTGTTTTAGACGGTGGACCCACTAGGGGTATTGGATACCGATTGTGCGGTAGGCCCATAAGGGGTTTGAATTGGAATTGTGTATGGAATTGGCCCCCTCCAGTGGAGGGAAGAAGCGAAGGCGCACCGCTCATAATTAGACGCCCTGTAGTCAGCCCGTCTAATCTTGGTATGGAGTCAGGCTGGGTCTTGGGTTTAATGTATATTGCCCAAGCCGGACACCGGTGTCTTGTCTAGACTAGCGTATCTAGGGTGTAAATTTCGTTCGCTAGGTCGGAGGGACCGGGAAACTAAGCAGACTCTGGTGTACATTATCGTTTGCTAGTTCTCAACCTATCTTGGCTAAGTGGGAAGGCGTGTAAATTTGGAACCCACTAGACTATTGATAGAGTAGATAGACTAAAAGGGTATTGTTGTAAATTCCGCCCTCTAGTTCGCTATATGTGGTGCTTGGGCAGCGACGGCTAACCAAAACGGATGTAAATAGTTTTAGGTAGTCCCTCGAGGTACTGTCCAATAGATTAGTTGGGAAACTGTAAATGTGTTAAAATTTATTATAGTAGAGTGTATATCTTGCTGGGTAGCGTGAGCTCTGCCGTCTAGCGAGAGTGTGAATAGTGTGTAACTGTATCATAGCCACGGTACCATAACCATGTATTATAATCACTGATACTGTAAATAATCACTAATAACTGTTATTTATGTTGTATGTTTAACACCATAACTACTACTAACTGACCTGTGACTTTAAAATTGTATTCTAACCAATGCTAACCGTACTATAACTACTGTTTGTAAAGACGATGTTACTAGGGTGTGTTATAGACGGCTAATTTAAATACTGAGAATTATAGCGTGGGTAATTGTATAATTTTGCCAAAAAAAGGTACAGTAATAGTTATTTAGTGTGTGGTGTAACAGCTGTGTGTGTACGGGAATTCCCTGTATGATTTGTTGTGTGCGTTTGGCCTAGTAACTGTGCCACGTGGTGCTGTTGCTAAGGTAACTGGTGTGACTGTTGAAACTGTTTGTATATTTGTACTGCTTTGAATCAGAAGCTCTGTTGAAATCATGGGTGCTTCTGATTCACAAACAGTCCTTTGTCTTGTATGTGTCAAAAAAAAACAAAAAACCTTTCTAAGGAATATGCTGTTTGTGATTATGGTGTAACACTGTCCCCCAAAAGATTAAAATACTCTGTGTAGCAGAGGACGGCCTCTTCTGGTAACCAGTGTTCCTGTGGATCCTTGATCCAGATTTAATACAGCAGGTTTACAGTGTTATAAATAATATGTTGGGGCTATACGAGTAGTTTCTGTATACAGATTGTTGAAACACTGCTAAATGGAACAAACTGTGCTAAGAGGAACAATGGAGTCCATGGTAGCCAGAACTTGTTTGTCCTCTAAAACCTTAATTACAACTGCTTTGGACACCTCCCCCCTCTTGCATCTGATTACCAACCCCTAATTCATCCTCCAGAGCTAGAGTAGCCCAAAACTGGTATAGCTGGTATTTGCACTCCCCCTGCTCTATTGTCCACGCCTACCCACATGCCTATCTGTTCTTTTCTTTCAAATTCTTGTATTTCTGTACAAACTGTTTTTTTTGTAATTTAAATTGACTTCCTTTTTGGTAGGAGTGTATTTTAGCATTGAATTTTATTTACAGTTAAATTGTGAGGAGAATTCTTAATAACAGTAACTGAGTCTATTGGATCAGATAATTCTCCGCAATGACACTGTACCATAAACACTGAAATAGCACTAAAACTATTGAATACTGTGTGTCTTCAGTGATAGTCTAAAATACAACTGGAAGACACATAATTCTTCATACACTGATAAGCCTCAAGTCATGACAGATTTGGTTACCTCTATTATACAAACCCACAATCTCACCTGGGCTGATTGTCAGCAATTATTACTGACCTTTGGAACGTAAATGGCGCTGACATGATCCATTTAAAGGCCTATCAACAAGCCATTACTGCTGGCATGAAGGCAGGAGGGAAAAAGGCAATTAACATGTCCAGGACGGCTGAAGTGTTACAAAAAGCTAATGAATCACCCAGTGCTTTTTATGAGAGACTGCTTGAGTAAAATAGATTGTACACTCCTTTCAATCCTGAAGCCCCTGACAACTTCCAAATGATTAATTCAGCATTTGTCAGCCTGGCCCAGAGCAATATTAAGAGAAAGTTAAAAAAATTGGAGAGATTTGCAGGGATATCCATATCACAGCTAATGGAGGTTGCAAATAAGGTGTCTATGAATTGGGGAACTGAGACAAAGCGTGAGAAGGAACGTAAGATGAGGAAAAAGGTAGATATGTTAGCGGTAGATATCACTGGTGTAGATAGAAGGGAAAAGGAAGTGTACAGAGGAACCGAGAAAAGCGAGAATAAGTGGAATAGGGAGCCTTTAAGTAGGAACCAATGCGCATATTGTAGGGAAGAAGGGCATTGGAGGAGTGAGTGTCCATTGAGGGAACAACATGAGAGAGATAGAACAAGGGGAGGATATAGTAATAACTATAGAGGTAGAGTGAGAGGAAGAGGAGGCCCTGGGGGAAATGGTGGGAATAGTAGAGGAAGCGTTCAAGGGGACAGGTATTACCCAGCAGCGCAGAGACCGTGAGAAAGAGAAGATAGGGACTTTGTGGGGTTGGCTGACACTGTCATGGAGGACTATTGATTCTGACCGGGCTCCATCCCCCTTGGTCGAGCGGAGCCTATGGTCGATGTAGCAATAGGGGGAAAAAGGAGGTCTTTCATGATCGACACTGGTGCTGAACATTCTGTGGTAACCGACCTAGTTGCTCCTCCTTCAGGAAGAATTATCACTGTAATAGGAGCAACTGGGAGGAGTGCTGCTAAACCGGTTCTCAAAAGTCGACTCTGTACACTGGGAGGCCACGTAGTGAAACATCAGTTTCTTTACATGCCTGAATGTCCAGTCCAACTTCTAGGACGGGATTTGTTGTCGAAGTTACAAGCACAGATAACATTTCTGCCTAACGGAACGACATCCTTGAAGTTTAATGGACCCTCAGGTATAATGACACTATCAGTACCGAAGGAAGAAGAGTGGCGACTTTATACAGTGATGACAAGTCAAAACCCTAAGAGTGATGAATCCTTGTATAATATATAAGGAGTGTAGGCAGAAAATAACCCACCAGGACTTGCTCGCAATATCCCACCTATACGCATCGAACTAAAGCTTGGGGTTTAGCCAGTAAGCCTGCGACAATACCATATACCTCAAAAGGCGAAGAAGAACATACAGTCTTATTTGGATAAGTTCATAAGGTATGGTATCCTAAAATTCTGTACTTCCCCCTGGAATACTCCATTGTTGCCTGTTCAGAAGCCTGGGTCAGATGAGTATCGTCCTGTGCAGGATTTGAGAGCAGTCAATGATGCGGTAGTAAGTATACATCCAGTTGTGCCCAATCCTTATAACCTGCTTGCCTTGATTCCGGGTGGGGCTACTTACTTTACAGTCTTGGACCTTAAAGATGCCTTCTTTTGCCTACGAATTGCTACAGAAAGCCATTGTATCTTTGCATTCCAATGGGAAGATGCTGTAACGGGCTCGAAACGTCAGATGACCTGGACAAGATTGCCTCAAGGGTTCAAGAATTCACCCACCCTATTTGGATCCACATTAAGTCAGGACCTGCAAGATTTCAAGTCCATCCCAGGAGAATGTGTATTACTTCAGTATGTGGATGATTTGTTGATAGTGGCAGTTACTAAAGAGATATGCCAGCAAGCAACTTATGATTTACTGCACATTCTTTGGAAGGCAGGATACAAGGTGTCCAGGAAGAAAGCTCAGTTGTGTCAGCCAACTGTCAAGTATCTGGGATTCCATATCTCTGAAGGTCAAAGGATAATGGGGCCTGAAAGAAAAGAGGCTGTATGCCAAATACCAACACCTAAGAATAGAAGACATGTGCGAGAATTCTTAGGGGCAGCAGGCTTCTGTAGGAAATGGATTCCCAGTTATGGGATACTGGCGAAACCCCTCTATGCCGCTATTAAAGGCACGGAACATGATTCCTTCCTGTGGACCATCGAACAGCAGAAGGCATTTGAGGATGTTAAGAAGGCATTGATGAGCGCCCCCGCATTAGGTCTACCTGATCATACACGTCCATTCTACTTATATGTACACGAGCAAAGAAGGATGGCTGTGGGAGTACTGACACAGTATCTGGGATCATGGCAACAACCTGTTGCGTACATGTCCAAACAGTTGGATGCAGTGGTTAGTGGTCTTCCACCTTGTCTGCAAGCAGTGGCCGCCGCTGCCCTGTTGGTAACAGAAGCTGACAAGCTTACACTGGGACAGGAACTCCAAGTGCGAGTACCTCATGCAGTACAGACTCTATTGGATTACAAAGGTAATCATTGGTTCAGTAATAGCCGAATGACTAAATATCAAGCCATGCAATGTGAAACTGTTAATAACCTGAATCCAGCTACCCTTTTGCCACAACGTAATGAAAGTAAACATGATTGTTTGGAGATAATGGATGAGGTGTTTTTCAAGCCAACCGGACCTTCATGACTTTCCCATTCAGGACCCGGATGTACAGTATTATACGGATGGTAGTAGCTATGTGAAAGAAGGAATTACTCGGCAGCAGGTTGTAGAGTTGGGTAGAACTATGTTGGAAGTACAGAAATGGGTACAAGATAGGTTACCTGTGAACATATATCCACCTGTTCATTCTTACCATCCAGGAGACCAAGTTTGGATAAAGGAGTGGAACAGTGTACCGTTGGGGCCAAAGTGGAGGGGTCCTTATGCTGTTCTTTTGTCTACTCCAACAGCTATAAAGGTGGCAGAGGTGACTCCGTGGATTCATCACTCCAGGGTTAAACCAGCAGCAGATTCTTGGCAAGCTATTCAAGATCCTGAGAATCCCTGCAAGATCCGGTTGAAGCGAGTGACCCAGTTAGATTAAAAGTGTTTTTTGCGAAGAGTATTGTTACAAGGGAACATCAACAAAGATCTACAAGTAGGTGTTTTGACGGCCACAATAAAGCCTGACCACCTACCAACGTTTAAGCCAGAGGAATCCTCTGTGAAGAACAGTGAGGATCAGAAGGACTCCTTTCCCTGCAGCCCTCACACGCCTGGAAGCTGAGGTGCCATCGCACGGTCAAAGAATTAGGAAGAAGATGTCAGGAGTAATGTGTTTGATTATGTATATATGTGTGTTTTTCATTATTCAGGAAGGTAGAGGTACCGACACACCAGGCTGCGAGGTTTGCATTAAGACTACGAAAACAGGCAATCGTATTTCCCAGACCCTTATTTGGCATTCGCAATATGAGTGCACAGGACATGTATCAAAGTGTAGATACCTAGGTACAGATTATAGTGTATGCCATATAGGAGCAGGAGAACCTAGGTGTTTTAATCCTGAGTATCAGCCCCGTACAATTTGGTTGACTATTTGTAATGAGAACGCACAGGGGAACCTGATAAATAAGACTGTACTAGAAAGCGTACATTCTCCAGGTGTTTTGCTATTTGATGCATGTAAGGCGATATCAGGTAGTAGGAAGCCATGGAATGTATGTGGTGGTCTTAAATGGGAAAGAACGTATGGGTCTAATGATAAGTATATTTGTCCTAGTAATAAGCATAAGTATATAGATCCAAACTGCCCAAATAAAGACTACAATTATTGTCCGTATTGGTCCTGTGTGGGATGGGCAACCTGGGGACAGACAGTAGATAAGGATATGATTATCACTAGATTGCCTACCAAGCCATATTGTAAGTCTATGGAGTGTAACCCAGTCCATATACTTATCAAGGACCCAGAGCTATTTATAGATAAGTTTGGGAATCTATTTGGGTTCCAAATATATGGAACAGGTTTGGATCCTGGGACGATATTATACATAGGAATAGAGACAGATACAGTGGCCCCCCAGACTCATCAGGTTTTCCATTCTTTTTATGAGGAGATGAGTGTGGAAGATAAGGTTCCCCATAATGCCAAAAACTTATTCATAGACCTAGCTGAGAGCATTGCTGGTAGTCTTAATGTAACCAACTGCTATGTGTGTGGAGGTACTAATATGGGAGACCAATGGCCTTGGGAAGCAAAGGAGGTAATGTATTCTGGTTCTGAGACAGTTCAACAACTAATATCTTCTCAATCTGATTATCAAGTGAGTGTTAGAGGTAAATCTGAGTGGCGATTAAAGACCTCCATTATAGGTTATGTTTGTATAGCAAGGAAAGGAATAATGTTTAATACATCTGTAGGAGAATTGACTTGTTTAGGGCAGAAAGCCTATAATGATGATACAAAAGATACTACTTGGTGGTCAGCTTCAAATGTCTCAGAACCGTCTAATCCGTTTGCAAATTATACCAATTTAAAGGATGTATGGTTTGACCTATCTGCTACATCTAGTTGGAAAGCCCCAGCAAATTTGTACTGGATTTGTGGTAAGAAAGCATATTCGGAGTTACCACAGGACTGGGAATGGTCATGTGTATTGGATATGCTCAAACCATCCTTCTTCTTGTTGCCAATTGAAACAGGAGAGACTTTGGGAGTTAAAGTATATGATGTAAATCATAGGAAGAAAAGGGCACCCCTGGAGATAGGTACCTGGGAAGATGATGAGTGGCCTCCCCAGCGTATTATAGATTATTATGGGCCAGCTACATGGGCAGAGGATGGTACTTATGGATACAGAACCCCAATATATATGCTTAATCGTATTATAAGATTGCAAGCAGTAGCTGAGATAGTTACCAATGAGACAGCACAGGCGCTCAATCTCCTAGCTAAACATAATACCCGAATGAGATCAGCCATCTATCAAAATAGATTAGCTCTGGACTATTTATTAGCAGTAGAGAGAGGTGTATGCGGGAAGTTTAATCTAAGTAACTATTGTCTGCACAAAGATGATGAAGGGCAGGCAGTGGCTGAACTTACCAGTCACATGGTTAAACTTGCGCATGTACCTACTCAGGTCTGGAGTGGGTATAATCCGAGTAGTTGGTTTGGTAGTTGGTATGAGCAGTTTGGAGGAATCAAGGCATTGGTAGGTGGAGTCATACTGATTTTTGATGTTGTGTCTCCTTCTGCCATGTCTGATTCCTTTGGTAATTAGGTCTATGCAGAGCATTATAGAAAGTATAGCAGAAAGAAAGGCCGCAGCACAGGTAATGGCTGTTTGCAGGTATGAAGCTCTAGATCAAGGAGAATACATGCAGGAAGAGGAATGTTGAGGGGTTCATATCTTTAGAGGATTGCAAAGTCTAGTCTGGTTTATGGCAACTTGAGGTGTAAGCAAACTATGATTGGTGATGCATCTGGAATTATTTTAAATCAGAAGCATCAAAGGGGGGAATGTGATGGAACATCTTCCAACAAATATGAGAAAGGTACAATTCTCAGTATGTACCATTGGGTAATAAATATAAAAGAAACAAATTAAAACCAATGTGGTTTAGTAAAGAAGTAAAACAAGAGATTAAGGGGGCGGAGCTAGCGGAGAGGGCGTCATTTCCAGCAGCTTTAACAAGAGCAGAAAAACGACTAAAAAACATAAAAATAAGCCTCACCTGAAAAAACGAGAGGCGGGAACATACTCACGACAACATTCTGATTCCACAGATGCCGTTTATGCAAAATCGGGCACGAAACGCCGCGCTAAAGGTACTGGGGCCTACCACACATGCGAGCAGACCCTGAACAGGGAATTAACATCGTGGCTCAGGGCGAGCTTATACTCTGCCGACGGAGACTTTTACTCCCAGGAAGAAATGGGACGGATGTCCCAAAAAGCAGCCCAGAACAACTCCTTACCGCACAGGGACATAAGCAGCATGCTGCAGACTCCCATGCAACAGTGGACTCGAACTGCCACGACAGCCTCACCTAAGCAGACAGAGAATGGTGACTCTACACACAGCACAGCCCAGGCCGCCACTGACACCGCGAACATGCAACCCGCCGAAGAGTTAACTCCGGCCACAAAACAGGACATTTAGATCATGCTGACTGGCCTCCAACGAAATCTCCAGCTTATGTGGCAGGCTGACCTAAAAGGACTAGCAACAGAAGTACAAGCGGTGTTGGCCGCACACATGCTGCAGAACAAGAGGTGAGAGATCTGCGCCAGGACCTCACCTCCCTAAAAGACACAGTCATTCAGCTGCAAAAGGCACAAGCCAATGTTAATAGATAAATAAATGTACTAGAGGACAGGGGCAAAAGAAAGAACATTAAAATACGAGGTGTACCTGAAGAGGTACCACTGGACGAATTACCCCACTACATAAGGCGCTTGGTGGCCTCTCTCCTTCCAAATACGCAAGCAAAAAATTTTACATTTGATGGCGTATATCGCATCGCTAAACCTCAACTAGCACCACAAGCAGCCCCTCGAGACGTAATACTGAGATGCCAGTCCCTCACGGACAAAATTGCTCTGATGACAGCAGTCAAAGGGAAATCACTGCATGACTTCGAAACACACCAACTTACATTCTTCCAGGATACCTTATTGTGGCGAAAGAGCCTGCAGCCAGTCACGTCCACCTTACAAAGAGCAGGCATCGCATACCGATGGGCGACTCCAAGAACGCTATGGGTGACCAAAGGCGACAACCACTATAAGATTTCCTCCTTGGGGGAAGCTCCAGCTCTAATGGCCAGACTGGGAATACCCAGGGTCACCACGGACATCCCTGCTGAACACACTGGGACTGTACCTTGAAACCGGTGGCGATTATATGCCCAGATTTAAGTTAACATGTCATTAGTTTAGATCACATTCTTGTTGTTATACCAGTTATTTTACAATACTTACAGCATAGACCTAACCTTACCGGTCTGCCAAGGCCAACACGCCCTAAAAAGACGTGGTGGATTATAGACCTCTCTTCCCCCCCCCCCCCAATGCCCTGGGGTTAAAGGGCATAGTAACCCACGGAGCACTTACCCTAGTTACAAGTCAAGCTCCAAGGTATATTAAAAACCCCTATCAGCAGACAAAACAAGCTAAGACCAAGGGTCACACAGACAACTAAGCTCCAAAATACGACTCGATTACACAACGACGAACCATGGACACCCAGCCCATACATTAACGCCAAATCTAACACACTCAATGCCACGCAATGGGCCGGGAGCTAATCTTATGTGCCAGTGTTAAATTACTGCCCACCACCCTCAATAGCAGCACAGACAATATATGCGCTATGACCAGCCAGCCCAATATATCCCAAAAAAGTGCAGAACATACTTCAGCCCAACTCACAGGACGACTGTTATGTAGATATAGCTTAGACATATGTTAAGGTGACATACTTATATATATATACACGTTTATATTGTATCATATAATGGAACATGTTAAATGGTTCGAATATAACTATCTGTAAAATTTGAGTTAAAGCGATCTGGATATTGCACAATGAAAAATAAAGAATTAATAAAAAAAACAAGAGATTAAAAATAAGAAAATGGCATTGAAAGAATTTAAATCAGACGACTCAGATGCAGCTTATAAAAGATATAAGGAAGCCAATAATGCGTGCAAAAAGATGATTAGATTTGCTAAACTTCAAAATGAAAAAATGATAGCTAAAGAGAGCAAAACCAATCCAAAAGCATTTTTTAAGTACATTAATTCTAAAAGTGTAGGTACACTAAAAACTGAAACGGGGGTGTTAGTTAATGAAGACCAGGAAAAAGCAGGAATTTTACATAACTATTTCTCCTCCTTATATATTAAGGAAGAACCCATGGCAATAGATGTGCAAATGATTGCTACTAAAAAATTGCAGAATAATTGTAATTGGTTAACTCAAGACAAGGTGCTGCAGCAACGAAAGAAAGTTAATATAAACAAAGCTCCAGGGCCTGACGGTATTCATCCACGAGTACTTAAGGAACTAAGTGTAGAAATAAGTGAACCTCTGTTTTTAATCTTTCAAGATTCTTTTCTTTCAGGAAGTGTTCTGGAGGATTGGAGGAAGGCAGATGTGGTTCCTATATTCAAAAAGGGTTCAAAATCATTGCCTGGAAATTATAGACCTGTGAGCTTAACTTCTGTGGCTGGGAAAATATTTGAAAGGTTATTAAGGGATAATATTCAAGAATTCCTTGAGAAGAACATGGTTATTAGCAAAAATCAGCATGGTGTTATGAAGCACAAACTAACTTGACTGCGTTCTACGAGGAAGTAAGTAGAAGTATAGATCAGGGTGTTGCAGTGGATGTGATCTATTTGGATTTTGCCAAGGCATTTGATACAGTTCCACACAATAGATGTTTTGTGTTCAAACTCAAGGAAATTGGTCTAGATGAAAATGCTTGTTCTTGGGTAGAACATTGGCTTAAAAAAAGAGTTGTCGTTAATGGTAAATTTTCAAGCTGGACAGAGGTGGCAAGTGGTGTCCTTCAGTGGTCTGTTCTGGGACCCTTTTATTTAACATGTTTATAAATGATCTTGAAGAAAGCATTGAAAGTCATGTTTCAGTGTTTGCAGATGACACAAAACTTTGTAAAATAATTCAATGTGAGCAAGATATTACTTTGCTGCAGAGGGACTTAGATAGACTGGGGGACTGGGCACTCAAATGGCAGATGAAATTTAATGTTGAAAAATGCAAAGTTATGCACTTCGGTGTAAAGAATACACAAGCAACATTGTAGCGGATTGCATTGGGCTGTCCTCAAGAATTCGTGGTAAAAATGTATTTGTGTAATTATTCCCCTGTATAACTGTAAATGTATGTAGCTTTTGTCTGATTGTTCGGTAGTTTTCCTTCCGTTTTCATAGAAATGAAACTACCGAACCATCAGACCACCCCAGTGAGAAGTGTGCACCTCGTTAAGCTTTCTCACTCTGTAACCGCAGCTTAATTAACCGTGAAATTGCTACTTTATATGTATCTGTGTGGTCGCCGTTCGGCATACGAACCGCGTGGCGGCGGCCATCTTACGCAAGAAAATCTCAGCGGTGTTTGGTCGTCGAGTGTCTGGAACTCAAATCGGACACTCGAACACCACTGAGACCTCCAGAGCTCCATAACTCACGAAGGGAGGGGCCAGTAAGCCCCTCGTTCGGTAAAATAAATGTACCGAACAAGGGAATACATACGAATATAAGATTAGCTGTGGATTGCAAGTATTTCTGTGTGTTTTAACTACCGAACGGAGACCGCAGTGCCAAAACACATGGAGCCTTTTTCGGATACTACCTCGTGTGCGGTCGGTCAAATTTCACCCTCCATCTAACTCCCGAACCCCTGGTCCGATCTGGGTGAATTTTGAATATGTTAGTCACCCAGATCGGGGCTCCAAGGGAGTACCCAGTATATCATTCTATATGCCTTGTAACGGATCGCCTGGCACCCCGACTGGGTACCTCCGTTGAAGGATGCTCCTAGCGCTTCCTGAGGACTCCAAGCACTCTTTTAATATATTGTCCTGCTGCTGGGGAGCGAGACCGACTGTCTCCGCTTCCTGCAGGACACACTGCCGCTGGGGAGGAAGTACGGCACCTTCAGCTCCCTGGGATACATACTGCCGCTGGGGAGGAAGGACGACACCTTCAGCTCCCTGGGATACACACTGCCGCTGGGGAGGAAGGACGGCACCTTCTGCTCCCTGGGGTACACACTGCCGCGGGGAAGAAGGAATGACACCTTTGGCTCCCTGGGACTCACACTGCCGCTGGGGAGGAAGGACGGCACCTTCAGCTCCCTGGGGTACACACTGCCGCTGGGGAGGAAGGACGGCACCTTCAGCTCCCTGGGGTACACACTGCCGCTGGGGAGGAAGGGCGACACCTTCAGCTCCCTGGGGTACACACTGCCGCTGGGGAGGAAGGACGACACCTTCAGCTCCCTGGGATACACACTGCCGCTGGGGAGGAAGGACGGCACCTTCAGCTCCCTGGGACACACACTGCCGCTGGGGAGGAAGGACAACACCTTCTGCTCCCTGGGGTACACACTGCCGCTGGGGAGGAAGGGCGACACCTTTGGCTCCCTGGGACTCACACTGCCGCTGGGGAGGAAGGACAACACCTTCTGCTCCCTGGGGTACACACTGCCGCTGGGGAGGAAGGACGACACCTTTGGCTCCCTGTAGCTCACACTGTCGCTGGGGAGGAAGGACGGCACCTTCAGCTCCCTGGGACACACACTGCCGCTGGGGACTCTCGCAGGACCAGTCTAGGAGGTCCGCTACCTCGGGTACCGCTGGTTGCTGTTGGGAAAGAGGACCGGCTGTCTCTTCCCGGGCCTCATTGATGAGTCGCAGGTAATCCCACTCCAGGTTCCATTCATTGGTGACCAAATACTGTATATCTGCCTCGAGGTCAATAGTGCTAGGGATTACTGTATAATGTGTCCCTTGCTGTATAGTCCAAAACCACCGCACGATGTCTCTGTGCAACAAATACTGGCGAGATGGCACCGTGTTGAAAAGTCCACACAGTGTCTGTGAGTTAAAATGGCCGCCTTCCATTGTTCTCACCATGTGCTTCTGATACAGGAAATGGTAGCCACCCAGTAACTCCACAGTATGTCCCCAGATGGTTCTTAAAAGGGCCAGCAGCAGCACAACACAAATCCATTATGCCCAAATCATGTCTTTAAAGGGCAATACATCCCAGGGGCCATAGTCACATGGCAGGAGGCTGGCAACCAGGCTAATTAAAAATCAAGGCGGGCAGGACTGGTGAGGGAGCACTGATTAGTGAGCTGTCTCTGCTCAGCTCCCTCGCGCGCAGCAGAGTGATGCCGGGAGCCAGAATATGATGTCATATTCCGTCTCCCGGCATCATTCTGCAGCGCGCAAGGGAGATGAGCAGAGAGCTCACAAATCAGTGCTCCCTCGCCAGTGCTGCCCATTCCCCTACCTGGATTTCCCCCCTGGAAAGTGCCGCCCAAGGCAAATGCCTTGTTTGCCTCGCGGCAAATACGTCCCTGGGAACAGGGACACTATAACATTAGGAATTCCTAACACTATAGTGTTCCTTTAATTTCCCCTCCCTCTTGCTTACCTTTGAATGCCAATCCCTGCATGGTCAGATGGAAGGAGAAAATGGTCTTTACTTCTGGTTTGTGACGAGAAATCACTGAGAAGGTGGAATTTGCAACTTGGGTGCAGACCAAGTGTTCCTTTGGACCCCAATATCATAGTGTGCTGAGCTGGACAGGGAGTTCTAACATTAATTAGAATGGCCTCTTTGAGCCAGCACTCTAGTGTTGACCCTGCTGGGGAAATCCTTGATCTCCCAGTCAGCCTCTGTCCATGGCCAACATAACCCAATGGCAGCAGCGTACCTACCGCGGTCGCAGGGGTCGCAGCTGCGACCGGGCCCGCCACTCCAGGGGGAGGGGTAATAACACTGTAGGGATAGGGGTATTAGAGACTATGACTAAGGGTATTAAGGACTAGGGGTATTAAGGCTGGGGTAGGAGTATTAACACTTTAGGGGTATTAACACTGTAGGGGTAGGGGTATTAAGGACTAGGCGTATTAACACTGTAGGGGTTGGGGTATTAAGGACTAGGGGTAGGGGTATTAACACTGTAGGGGTAGGGATATTAAGGACTAGAACTAAGGGTATTAAGGACTAGGGGTATTAAGGACTAGGGGTAAGGGTATTAAGGATTAGGGGTAGGGGTTTTAAGGACTAGGGGTAGGGGTATTAAGGATTAGGGGTAGGGGTATTAAGGACTATAAGTGCCCCAAGTCCTTCACTTACCTTTTGTGAGATGGGCTTTCCAAGGGTTCTTCACATCAAGCTCACACAATATGCCATTTTTAAGCAAACCATGTGCAGTCTTACGGAAAATACCAGGCTACTGACACAAACATGTAATCGCTTCACTCTACATATGTTCACACTAAAGTTCAGCATGTTTTCCACATGTTTATCATAATATAAAATTGTGCACGTTCATTATACTACCCCAATTGTAAAGCTTGATAAGATGCCAGAGGACTGCTGTTGGAGTACCTCAGGCTTGTATGTACCTATCTTATGCACTGCAAAACAAAAAAGAAAAAAGAAGAAGATAGGAATGAAGGAAATAAAAATAGAGTACAAAAAAATAGAGAAAAAAATAGGGTACAGGATAACAGACCCCTGGGTCCCAGGGTAACAGATATCCCTCAAGATCCATAGATGTGGGTATCCTCATATCCCAAAAAATAATAAACAAATAAATACTGTAAAAATTACTTAAACATTGTCAGACCTTTAACTGCGGGGCAAGCAATAGCCAGCCCCGCAGTCATAGGTGTGAGAGGTTTCTTGTTTTGTTCCTGCATTGCCAGCTTCCTTGTTACCTTTGTCTTATTTTTCACTGACACAGGGTGTTGACTCTGGATGTAATCGGATATGTTATTCACCACTGCTCTCAATCCCACAGTGAATGGGATTTGTTCACTAACAGTGAACTGTAGGGAAGTGAAAATCAATATGCAAAATTTAGGACAAAATTGATTAGGAAAAACATATGCTAAACATGCTGTAGATACTAATTGGTTATTTTAGCTTGAATTTTGTGGTTCTGTTTTAGTTTATGACAACTCACTGTTCAATAGTTTAGTTCTATTAAAGGAACATATATATTATTTCTTATGTTAGAGTGATCTCTGGGCTATTTATATAAACATAGTTACATCTATAGTTTGTAATCCAAAGAGTTAACCATTCTGATGTTAGTAGAGACTAACCCTCAAAATCCCAATATCCAGCTGGTCATTTTCACAGTGTCCTTGGTGATTAACGGAGTAAATCAGGGGTGCCCAAAAGGTAGCTCCCCCATAATGCTTCATCATACTAAAGACATGTAAAGCATCATGGCAGTTGTAGTTCTGCAACATCTAGGAATCTACTTTTTGGGCACCCCTGTGTTAACTACACATGTCCAGATGTTTGTACTGATATTTTCTGGTTATTTTAACCTTTTAGAGTGTAAATTCCATCACAAGGGGTCTATAGTCGTTGGATAGCCCACAAAACTTTCAGCATATCATATTTTACAATTGACAGAGCAGTGAAAGCGTTAACATGCTGTGGAATGCATTATGCAATGTTTCTTCCAGACACAGAATCCTATTGGTCAGTTTAACTATAGAACTGCATTCTACTAAGCACGGTGTGTGACTCGGCTTACGTTACACACAAAACACTACACAACCCTTCGTAGATCTACGGAGCTCAGAGCCAAACATGGGCTCAGTAAAGGGGTGGATCTGTGTAGTACTGGTGGGAATTCTGGGATATCTTTATATGGAAAGTTTCGACCCTGGTAAGACTCCAAATCTATACAATTGAAAACAAAGCACACCATATCTTCATTGAAATTAGGAAAGATTGTTTCTTTTTTTTGTAATGGCATAAGGGGACATAAAATGATTACTGTATTCATGGGGCTACACACATGTTACTATGTAATAATTACTGTTTCTCCGTCCTACATTGGTGACTTTTCTTACTCGTTTACTTTACAAACTTGCCAGAGTAATCCACTTTTTTTTTTTTTTAATTTCTTTCTGATTTTCTTTTGCTGTTTTTCCTGATGTTTTTACTGTTCATGACATTTACAAAATTAAAACATAAAAATAGTAATATCAAAAAGGGAAAAAAGTAAAATTTTTATGTTTTTTTTAATGCTTTAAACAAAAAGGAAGAACGAGTTAATTAACTGCTTACCTGACACCTAACTTGCCAATCTCATAATTGTGGTTGCTCTTATTGTTTACACATTGGAAATAATACATTTAAGAACAAAAATGGGAAAATAAAATGACAGAAGAGATGCAAGAAATTTATCTGCACAAATAAGGGATAATTCGGCACAAATACTAAGCACAAAAAAACATAAAAAGTGAACATAGCACTTTTTATATATGGTCTGCACTGTTTCTAAATGCCACTTGCCAGATACTCTTCTGCCATAGTGAAAAAGGCACCCAGATCTCTTAATCTCAATGAAGTTGTCTGGGTCAGTGACGGGAACTACCTCCAGTGCAACTCCATCGGCACCTGCGGGTTTTGGGGACACATCAGGTAACCATCTATTTAGGACCACCTGATAGGCAGGCCCTTTTAATATTGACCGGCAGTGCTGGGAGAAAGTGAGAGTCTGTCACTTCCTCATAGTTTACAGACCACACAAAGGAGGCACAGAAAGGACAGGAGAGCACAGCAGACAGCATCAGACTCCCATCATCCTCAAGCAGCCCAGGAAGCCAACCTCCTCCACCCATATTGTATGAAAGCAGGGGGTTGGCTAAAAATATGCAAATTGTAACTTGTGTGTGTATCTGTGCGTCAGTGTGGGTATCTGTTTGTGTAGGTGTTTATGTCAATGTGTGTACATATGTACAAGTATCACTGTGTTTGTTTGCATATGTTTATATGTGCATACATCCCAGCATTCACTTAAACATCGATTATACAGACAAAAACAACCCTCCAATCAAACGCCAACACCACATTCAGTCAAACGCCAACACTACATACAAACACACCTCTGTATTAAAATGCCAACATTATATTATACACAAAAAAAACTACATTCAAACACCAAACCTACACACAAATACACCCCTTCACTCAAACTTTGCTGCATTCAAACACACTACACACAAGTACGCCACTGCTTTCAAGTGGCAACAGTACATACAAACACACAACTGCATTAAAATGCCAAAACTACACACAAATACTCCATCCAAAACCATGCTTAAATTCAAACACACAAACATTGCCCCCATTTAAAACCAGACCCGGACTCGCCATCGGGTAAATGCCCAGTGGGCCACGGTGGCCATGGGCCTAGGCCAGCAGGGGAGATTACAGGATCTCCCCTGCCGGTCCGTGCAGGGCCGGCTCTATCCGAGCGCCGGCCCTGCTGCATTCCATGACAGACCGGTGGAGAGATTCATGATCTCCCTCACCGGCTCACATGTAGTGTATTGCAGCCGCCGGCGGCGGAGAGAGGGAGTGAGACAGGAGAGGAACCCAGAGGAGCTCTATCTTGCAGCTCCGCCAGGTCCTCTCGCGAGATTTGGAGCATTCCCACTGGCTAGAGTTCACTCACCAATAGGATGGGATGGCAGCAGCACAATCCCCCCTCCCAGGCTAAAGGTTAGAAGGGAGGGGGGATATCATCACACACACACTGCAGGTTGACACTCACAGCACCCTCACTCACACACACACTGCACCCCTGACACTCACAGCACCCTCACTCACACACACACACACACACACACACACACACACAGCACTCTTACCCACACAGCACCCTCACACACACTGCACTCATCTTCCACACACACATCACCCTAACACACACACACTGCACCCCTGACACTCACAGCACCCTTACACACACACATACACACACACACGCTGCACCCCTGACACTCACAGCACCCTCACACACACACACTGAACCCCTGACACTCACAGTACCCTCACTCACACACACACTGCACCCCCGACACTCACAGCATCCTCACTCACACACAAACACACTGCACCCCTGACACTCACAGCACCCTCACTCACACGCTGCACCCCTGACACTCACAACACCATCTCACACACACTGCACCCACACACACAGCTTCCTCAAACACACATAGCACCCTCACGCAAACACAGCACCCAGCACACACACACTACACCCCTCACACACACAACACCCTTACACACACTACACCCCTCACACACACACTGCACCCCTCTTGCACACAAACCACAACCCTTACACACACACACATCACCCTCACACACACACTGCACAATACTCTTTCCTGGTATTTTTATCTCCTGGTATCCCATCTATGGAGACACTAGAGACAAATTTCAAGCAAACACAGTGCAAGCATGTTATTAAATTTGCTTGCGCTGTGCAGAACAAATACAAGGTCTTTTTCTCATGCTAGATCTCTTCAGCAGAGCTCTGCGCATGGTATGCCCTGGAAGAGCATTGAACCAACATGCTCACTTTGTGATGGGGCGTGCTTGTCATTGGTGATGACAGAACAAACCCTATCTGTCCCCGCCCCCTTTTTAGTGTGTCACTGTAATAAAAAAATGCTTGGCTGAATTTTCTTCCCAGTCCGGCCCTGGATAAAACCCTTTAAGTATGGGCAGATGGTACATCCCCAGCTGGTAGCGCATCATGGGAGATATACGACAGATGGGAATCTACCTTTTGGCCGTCCTTGAGTTGGGAAGAGGGGGGAATTTTTTGAACAAGGACCCTCTCTATATTAGTTCCGCCACTGGTCTGGGTGCCATGCCCTCCTCATTTTAACCCTTCAGCGTACAACTTTACATCTAGTGGCTGTCACACTGACCCACAAGAGCTACTTCTGAAGAAATGGCCAAGTAAAACTTGGCAAGTTCTACCAGGTGATCTCATAGAGACCATCCGATTGATTCATGGTGGCGTCTTGCAGTGTGCATGCACACTATCCTCCCAATGCTTTCCTAAGGGTCTTGATGATCTCAACCAAGGAGACGAGGCCAGCTGTGGACAGAGCAGTTTAAACTCTTGGGGGTGGTCACCTAAACAATGACTAGTACACGATAGTGTTAGGAATACACTAGTTTTTATTCCTAATGCTATAGTGTTCCTTTAAGAGAATTTAAGTAAACAATAATAATAAAAATATGTTTATGTGTTGAGACAAATGTGTGGAGCCAAGTATTTTCTTTTAGATATTAAAAACAAACAAACTGTACTGTGATTAATTATTTGAAATCCTATCCTTTTCTGTCACAGAAAGCATTGCCAATGCCAGGGTACTAGTCACTGGGGCAAGCACAGGCATCGGAGAGGAGATAGCGTATCACTATGCAAAGGCAGGAGCCCAGCTGGTTATAACAGCAAGGAGGGAACAAGCACTGCAAAAGGCAAGTAACCCCATACATTATAAAAGCTGTACAAAATGTATCCTGAGAACAAGGTACAATCTAAAAGAAAATGGCTGAAGATTGTGTGGAGACTTGAGATCTTGACTTTACCTCCTTCATGATGAGCTAGTCCCTTATTTTTCTCCCATTATTTAATTTAATTATTATTCTCCCTCTTACTCGTTAATTCTGAATATATGGCATGGTATGTTATTTGGTTGTTAATGAGTTCACAGTCAGTTCTCTACAACAAAAGCAACAATATGAATACCGTATATTATTATTATTATTGCCATTTATATAGCACAAGCGTATTCTGCAGCGCTTTACCATTTTATAAAAAGGGGAAATTCAAGAAATGAGGGGTTGCCACGGCAGGACAAAGAAGAGAGTTGAAGGTATCCATGAGATGCAAGGGATTGTGGGAGCATATAAACTAATGAGAGAGGAAAAGTATGACTGTTTAGCAAGGGTGAGGGCTACACTGTATGAACGCAGGATGAATTTAAAATGGCAAAAGTCTGACAAGGTGTGAAACTCCCTCCAGTGGCGTTCGGTTGAACGGGAGCATCTCTGCAGGTAGCATGTTGCCTTAGTGTGCCACTATTGGAGGCATATCCTCCTTGAGGTGTATGTTTGGGGCAGGGCTGCAGCGCCCAGAGCAGTGGTGAAGATAGCATTATATGAGGAGATAGCCAGAGAGGGACAGAAAAAAAGTGGATGAGAGTTGAGAACGGACATCAGTTGAGGGTTGCTGGAGGTCAAGTTCAACTCGTTCAAGTATTAGCTATCTTTACCGACAGCTTTCTATATGCCTGACCACATTGGGGAAATGGTACTGCAATTAGGTTGCTTTAAAAAGTGCTCTACTAACATAAGCAAAATAGGTTTTTTAAGTAACAAAGAGAGTTTGCTATATATATTAAAATGCGTTTTTTTTTTTTTTTTTTTAGAAATTAGTAAATACAGTTAACAGTTCTAGCCACAACAAATTTAGCCCATTCTCACAACACCATCTTATTCACTGCAGGTGAAGGCCAAATGCCTGGAACTTGGAGCAAAGAATGTGTCCCTGATTATTGCAGACATGGGAGAGCCTGTGGATCGGGAACAAATATTGGAGAAGGCTGTTACTGTGCTGGGTGAGTATTTAATCTATTAATGCGAGTAAGGTGTACCAATTTAGATTAACTAGAAAAATAATAGGAAGAAATCCTCTCGTATAGAGACGAGGGGAATCCTCCTACCAGTACTACCCCTAGAAAGACATATATACAGGCTTGTAGAAAACAAGATATGTATAACTAAATTTAGATTAACCCCTTAAGGACCAAACCTCTGGAATAAAAAACAATCATGACATGTCACACATGTCATGTGTCCTTAAGGGGTTAAATACCATGGAGCATATTTTTTTTTACAGTGTATATAAATAGGGAGAGATTCCTATTCCACTAAGGTAAAAAGTAATTTTACCAGCATAGGAAATGTTATTTTAATATAGATGGACATCAGGACACTTTTGTATGTGTGCTTCTAATTAACATAGTAAGGCCCCCCCAAGCCCCTCTCTCTGCCCAAAGGTAAGAAGAAGGGAGGGGGGATATTAAAGGGACACTAATGCAATGTTAGCTTAATGAAACAGTTTTGATGTATAGATCATGCCTCTGAAGTTTCCCTGCTCAATTTATTGCCATTTAGGAGCTAGATTACTTTTGTTTCTGTTTATGCAACTCTAGCCACACCTCCCCACACAACCTGCACTTATTTTAAAAGTTTTTATCTCCTGCTCTGTAAATTAAACTTTAATTGCATACAGGAGGCACAGTTAGCTATTAACAGAGTAGGAGATAAGAAATTCTAAATTAAACTGAATTTGCAATAAAGGAAGTGTAAACATTTGATGACTCTTTACAGGAAGTATTTAGGAAGGTGTACCTAGGGTTTCAGAAACAAAGTGATTCAACTCATAAATGACACAGAACTGAGCAGGGTCATGATCTAAACATCCGAACTGCTTCATTAAGCTGAAGTTGCTTCGTGACTATAATGTCCCTTTAAACTTAATTTTCAAAGTATCATTAATTTAAAAAATAAAGTAAAATAATATTTCTATATATTATATCTGTCATGAATGCACCCTACTCCAAGAGTGTGCGTGACGTAGTTGTGGTGGCGAAGGGGTTAAAGTTCACTATTTGTCTGCACTAGACTGAAAATAATTACAAAATCCCTCTTAACACCACCCACATTTAAACATAATAACGCCCTTAGACAAACACAGTGACCTAGTATTGGATCTGTTAAGATTTGTCTTAACACACAATTTCTTTCTGTTTGACGGAGTATACTATCACCAGGTGCAGGGGACCGCTATGGGGACATCTTGTGCACCCTCATATGCAAACCTGCACCTGGGATGGTGGGAGGAGCAAGTAGTTTTTACATCTCCTCCTAAAAATCCTCTGTACATATATCTATACATATAAAAGAAAAGATACATAGATGACATTATAATCATCTGGACTGGGTCAGAGGATCAGTTCAGACAATTTACACTTGATCTGAACATAAATGAATTAAATCTTAAATTCACTGCCGAGATTGGTACTCCATCTCTAAGCTTCCTCGATCTTGTGGTATCTCCACAAGAACAAGGTTTCATTAAAACAAATTTGTTCAGGAAAAGCACAGCTACCAACAACCTTCTGAATTGGAAAAGTCATCATCCAATTCAGCAGAAACGGGGAATTCCAACGGGCCAATATTTACGCTTAAGACGCAATTGCTCAGACTTGGAAGATTTTAAAGTACAAGCAAGAGAACTGCGCCATATGTTCAGGTCCAAAGGATACCCCAATAAATGCCTGAAGAAAGCGTACCATAGGGCTCTTCTAACTGAACAGGGAGACCTACTAAGAGAAAAAGAGGTCTCCTCTTCTACACCATTGAAAATCGAACAGAAACAACTCAGGTGTATTGCCACCTTTGACGCCGGCTGGGACCAAGTAAAAACAATTATGAATCGCTTTTGGCCCCTACTAAAACAAGACACTTATCTTAGGGACGTCCTCCCTCCCCATGCAACTCTGACAGCTAGAAGGGGTAACAACCTGAAAGATCTATTGGTACATAGCCATTTCCAGCCTACTAAACAACCTACACATTGGCTGTCAGACAAGATTAAAGGTACCTATAAATGTGGCAGGTGTAAAGCCTGTAGATATATTAATACCAACTCCAAAAATTTCAATAATAGTTCTAACACAGAAAATTTCAAATCTCTTTCATTTTTCAATTGTAACTCAAAAGGAGTGATTTACTTAATCACTTGCCAATGCAACATCATGTATGTAGGCAAAACCTTTAGACCGTTCAAGAGACGAATTCTTGAACATATAAATTCAATAAAAACAGTAAGGAATATAGAAACATCGGTCTCTAGACACGTGAAATCAGTTCACAATGGGGACTCCAATGTCCTCAAATTTCAAGGCATCAAATTAATTAAACAGGACCAGAGGAAGGGCAACTGGGACCAACGTCTGAGAAGACGTGAATGCTACTGGATCTATCGCCTTAAAACCCTGTCCCCTAGGGGCCTTAATGAGGGTTTTTCATACTCTCCATTTATTTAGAAGTCTCTCTATATTTAATTTATGTGCCTTTTTAAAAAATAATTCATTACCTATCTTAGTTATCTGTATATATACCTTTTGAGGGGATTTTCACTATTTTTATGTGTATTGCCCTCCATTCTTTCTCCCATTCCTCCCCCCCTTTCTTAATTCTATTTTCAATTTTGGCTAATCTTTATAGAGGGCTCACTAGGTATAGATAGATGTAATTATCTTTAAGATGGCTGCCATTTCTTGGTCTTTAAGATATCTCACTTATAAGATACAAATGAGCTCTCTGAATGATATATTCCCAAAATAAATCTGAACAGCCACTTTATCTTTAATGTAAATAGTCTAATATTTTAACTATGTCTGTCTAAATTATATGAGCTACACTAATAAGATCTTTTTTCCAAGTTGAATACTTATATTTCAAGTAAACGAATTTCATTCCTTACCTTCTGTATTTTAGAGTTAACTTTAGACTGAAATAAATAGTCCGATATTCCAATTATGCATTTGGAAAGATAGAGCCGTAGGTGTTAATATTGTACTATATATCCTACTCATGGCCCCTAGAACACGGGCAAATGGTTACTTTTTGATTATGTAACAAACCACTTATGTTTTAGACAAGTTTAACATTCTACAAGGTTCATCTTTACACGACGGATTTTCAGCCAGTCAATCATTTGACTAACTCCACCTCCTTACAGAGGGCAAGTGAATATGGCGTTACGTCATGATTAACGACGTTGTGATTGGCTACTTGGGATTTAAATACAGGGAGTGTTTGGGCGGCAATTCCTATCCCTGACGAAGGAGTTTGCTACTCCGAAACGCGCGTCGGATCTTTGAGGGGTTCCCCACTCACGGCACTTTGGCACATTACCGTGCACAACTCACGATGCACTAGGAATCCTTTCCCCCACCTTTCCCTTCCCCTCCTTTTCCTCACCTTCTGATTATGATCTTCATCATTTTTTGTTAGTTACAATGCCCGCAGTTTGCTTCTAGAGTTCCATTTTACTCGACAGGATAACAGCGTACTACTCACCACTTAGTTTAGAACACCCACGAAGGTGTTTATTAGCAGAAGTGAGGGTAACAGCCAACTACCTAGCTTAGAACACCCATGAAGGTGTTTATTAGCAGAAGCTAGGGATAAGCATTAGAACGGAGTTTTTTCATTTTGCTAGATTAGATTTGGGTTTGATTGTATATCCTGTCTCTGCTGTCTCTCCCCGCTTTTTAGACACTTCGCCTCGATTTACTCCTTTTCTATATGAGTTCTTCGTTTTAGATCTCCATAGATCCATATTGTATAACTCTGGCGGTCATATTGATACATCTGGAGGGATTGCACTGTTGAGGGGGATTTTTCACCTATAACATTCCAATTAATAGATCTATCTATGTATTAAGATTAAAGATCAAAGACTATAGGTAATTACAGGAAGCAGTGATTTCCACTTTGTTAATATACAGTTGCTGTTGTATCTCTTTCTCTTTAGTAGGTCAATAAAGTTACCATTTCTTTTAGTGGATTTAGAGATACTTTTTATGCACTGTATCAATTTTATTTAATTTGACTCAATAACTGTTCCTACTCCCCACTTTCCTGTTCTTTGGGCTCTAGATTCTAAGAGTTATTAGGTATCATATTTATGTGCACTTATAATTTATACTTTTACCAGCTTGCTTGGTATTTTCCTCTTTCTTCTTAAGAGGAATATATCCGAGCATTTTGTGTGTGTTTTCTATCTTCTACAAATAAAGGGTTCATGCCCATAATAGGTGGAGCTGGTACCACCTACTCTGACCAATTTTTTCCAAGTCATAGATTTAACATTTTGTGAATCTATGACAAAGGAAAAATAAGTTTCGTTTTGTTTAATAATATAACTATTACTATTTTAACGCTGCCACCACCAAGGCAATTTATAAATGGGGTCCCTTTTCCCCCAGGTAAATTAATTATAAAAACCCAACAAATATTACTTAGCACAATATATATGTGACTGTAAAATACTAATTAGTCTCTTCAGGTAACGTGATTCTTTACAAGTCAAAGGCAGAACTTAATAATGGAATGTTTATTATGAGTAAAAAAATGAGCAAAAAAATAGTCACAGTGCATACAAAAATATAGATGATAAACCAATTATTTACAGATAAAAACAAAAGGGATAAAGTAACAGAAGTCCTAATCACTTACTCAGCTCTTCAAAGTAAATACTTCTGCTGCAGGTGGTCTCTGCTAGGAAAGATGGTGACTCACTTAGAATTATATTCTGGCCCCAAACAAGTACACCCAGGGCCGGCGCTACCTGATATGCAGACTAGGCAGCCGCCTAGGGCGCCCCTTGGGAAGGGGCGCCGCCAGGAGCGCCGGCCCCCCTCATGCGGCAGCCGCCCGAGCGCTCTGTAGAGAGCCTCAGGTGGCTGCAGCTTTGCCCGGGCGGTGCGTCCATGAGGGCGGACCGCACCGCCCGGGCGCAGCCTGAGGAGAGGGGCTGACAGGAGGGAAGCGCTCAGCGCTCCCTCCTGTCACTCCCTACCTGTAGCGTGGCCGAGCCCAGTATATTCCGCGGGTACAGGGAGCATCTGTCTCCTGTACCCGGCCGGACTAACAGGAAGTGCACACTGAGTGTGTACTTCCTGTTAGTCCGGCCGGTTACAGGGAACAAAAGCTCCCTGTACCCGCGGACCATACCATAGTGGGCTCGGCTATGCTACAGGGAGGTAGGGGGAGAAATTGGGCTGGGAATTGACACGAGGGTGGGGAATAGACAGGAGGGGGGAAATGGACAGGGGTGGGGAAATGGACAGGAAAGGGGTGGAATGGACAGGGAGGGGGAAATAGAGAGGGGGGAAATGGACAGGGGGGAATGGACAGGAGGGGAGGAAATGGACAGGTGGGGGGAAATGGGACAGGGGGTAAATTGACAGGGAGGGGGAGAATTGACAGGAGGGGAATTGACAGGGGGAAACTCGACAGGGAAAATTGACAGAGAGGGGGTGAATTAACAGGGGAGGGGGGGGAATTGACAGGGGGAAATTGACAGGAGGGGTGGAGGGGGGAAATTGACAGGGGGGGGAAGAAATTGACAGGGAGGGGAATTGATGGGGAAATGAGAGTGGGGAGGGGAGAAGAGAGTGACAAGGGAGGGGGGAGAAGAGAGGGACAAGCAGGGGAGAAGAGAGTGACAAGGGAGGGGGGGAGAAGAGAGGGACAAGGGGGGGAGAAGAGAGGGACAAGGGAGGGAGAGGGGGAGAAGAGATTGACATCCATCACACACACACATGCACCCCTTACACACAAAGACAATGCACCCCTTGCACACAGAAAAACACACAATGCATTACACACACAGACACACACACACAAGCAATGCAACCCTTACACACAATGCATGCCTTACACACACAGAAACACACAATGCATTCCTTACACACACTCAATGCACCCCTTACAGATGCACACACTCAATGCATCCCGTACATACACAGAAACACACCTTGCAGCCCTTACACATACAAACACAGATTCACACAATGCATTCCTTACACACATATCCGGACATCCCCTACTCCACCCCCTGTGAACAAACTCATTGGTGGAACATGAAAGTGGACCCTGGGACCCAGACCTTGAGCTGTGTAAAGGGCCTTAAAAAAAATGGAGCTGCTTCCCATTCTCCCAGAACATTGATTTTTGTGACCACAGTTACAAACAGCCTCCAGGGAGCCTGTTCTACACCAGACCAGTGGAGCCAGACTGCAGCTAGAGCCCATCATCATCCTCATCTGGTTGTAAGTAGGCAATTTAGTATATTATTCGTGGCACTAATCTCTAGTCCCCAGAACCACTTCAGCTTAATGTAGTGGTTCTGGTGTCTATAGCCTGTCCTTGCAGGCCTTTTAATGTAAACACGGCGGCACTGCAGCACTGGCGTTAGTTAACATGGCAAATCATATGGGTGGGGCATTGTGATGTCACATGGGGGGCGGCAAACTTTACTTTTGCCTAGGGAGGCAAAAATCCTTGCACCGGCCCTGTCCCCCTGTCTCGTCTTTCCTCCAAGCTATACATGTTAAGATCCTTTAACCTTTCCTGGTAAGTTTTATCCCGCAATCCATGAACCAGTTTAGTAGCCCTTCTCTGAACCCTCTTTAAGGTATCAATATCCTTCTGAAGATACAGTCTCCAGTACTGTGTGCAATACTCCAAGTGAGGTCTCACCAGTGTTCTGTACAATGGCATGAGCACTTCCCTCTTTCTACTGCTAATACCTCTCCCTATACAACCAAGCATTCTGCTAGCATTTCCTGCTGCTCTATTACATTGTCTGCCTACCTTTAAGTCATCAGAAATAATGACCCCTAAATCCCTTTCCTCAGATGTTGAGGTTAGGACCTTATCAGATATTCTGTACTCTGCCCTTGGGATTTTACGTCCAAGGTGCATTATCTTGCACTTATCCACATTAAATGTCTGTTGCCACAACTCTGACCATTTTTCTAGTTTACCTAAATCATTTGCCATTTAGCTTATCCCTCCTGGAACATCAGCCCTGTTGCAAATTTTAGTATCATCAGCAAAAAGACATACCTTAGCATCAAGACCTTCTGCAATATTACTAATAAAAATATTAAAGAGAATGGGTCCAAGTACAGATCCCTGAGGTACCCCACTGGTGACAAGCCCAAGCTTCGAATATATTCCATTGACTACAATCCTCTGTTGCCTGTCATTTAGCCAATGCCTAACCAATTCAACAATATTGGAATCCAAACTGAAACATTGCAGTTTATTGATAAGCCTTCTTTGTGGAACAGTGTCAAAAGCCTTACTGAAATCTAGGTAAGCAATGTCTACTGCACCACCCTGATCTATTATTTTAGTTATTTAATCAAAAAAATCAATAAGATTAGTTTGGCATGATCTCCCTAAAGTAAACCCATGTTGTTTCTGATCTTGAAATCCATGTGTTTTTAGATGTTCATCAATCCTATCCTTTAACATGGTTTCCATTACTTTCCCCACTTCTGAAGTAAGGCTTACTGGCCCTCTAGTTGCCCGACTCCTCCCTACTACCTTTCTTGTAAATGGGCACAACATTCGCTAATTTCCAATCTTCTGGGACTACTCCTGTTAACAATGATTGGTTAAATAAATCTGTTAATGGTTTTGCTAGTACACCACTAAGCTCTTTTAATAACTTTGGGTGTATTCCATCAGGTGCCATTGACTTATTTGTCTTTACTTTTGACAGTTGAAATATAACCTCTTCCTCTGTAAACTCACGTGTAACAAATGACTCATTTGTCCTTTTTTCTAACTGAGGCCCCTTTCCTTCATTTTCATCTGTAAATACTGAACAAAAATATTAATTGAGGCAGTAAGCTAGACCTTTATTCTCTTCTACATACCTTCCTTCTTTTGTTTTTAATCTAACTAATCCTTGTTTTACTTTCCTTTTCTCATTTATGTATCTAAAAAATGTTTTGTCCCTTTTTTTACTGACTGTGCTATTTTCTCTTCTGTGTGTGATTTGGAAGCTCTTATAACTTGCTTAGCCTCTTTCTGCCTAATCTTATAGATCTGTCTGTCTTCCTCACTCTGTTTTTTTTTTATAATTACTAAATGCTTTTTGTTTTTTTAATATTTTGGCCACATCTGCAGAGTACCACAGTGGTTACTTTAATTTTTTGCTTTTACTGACAAACCTAATGTAATTTTCTGTTGCCTTTAGCAGTGCAACTTTTAAATAATCCCATTTCTCTTGGACTCCATTTAAATTGCTCCTGTCTGATAATGACTCCTTTACACATATTGTAATTTTAGAAGGGTCTGTTTTTCTAAAGTCTAAAACGTTTGTTTTTGTGTGGTGTGACTCAGTCACTGTTCTTATATTAAACCACACTGACTGATGATCACTGGATCCTAAACTTTCACCTACAGTAATATCTGATACCAACAACTTGTCTTAAAGACAATACAAGTTGGGAGTTTAGAATATGTGTGCTCCTGGCACAAGCTGCTTTTTTGGTTTTCCAAAATTTCCATGATGATAACTTCCCCCTTCATTGTCATTTTAGCTATTTCCTCAACTAGTAGATTATCTAACTCTTCTATTTGTCCAGGGGGCCACAATTAAATTGTTAGTTACTGTAATCAGAGTGGTCTCAAATGAATGGAGGGGGTGGAAGCCAGATTGAAGAGGGTCGAGGAGAGAGATGATCTTCAGAAGTGCTACCTCTGCATATGGCTTTGGCTTCATGACTTGCTAGTATTTATGAATCGACTCGACCTGTAGTGCAAGTTTTATTTATGCTCTTTTGAAAGCGCATATAATTTCATCTATATGTTGTGCTTGCAGTTTTGCTGGCAAATGTATAGATTGGCAAAAAAAGAAAAAAAATGAAACGCGTTCCCCCCCGTGATAGGGGCTTCCTCAGTCAGTTTGTAGTGTGGAGGGGCTCCTTATAGTCCTTTTCAACCGTCTTATGCAGGTACTTCAAGTTCGACTGTCCGCACTTTGGAACGCATTATGTGTTCCAATTCAGACGCAGTGTGCTCTATTTCCGGGTCGCGTTACCTGTGCCAATTCGGGCGCATGGTTGACGTAACTGGAATGCATGTCGTATGACGCGTGCGTTCCACTCGAGGAATTCTCTGTTTTCTCTGGGATCGCGGTTTGCGATCTTAATCTACTGATGTGTCTAAATTGGCAATTTGCAATCTTAATCTAGTGATTCTCGATTCAATTCATCTCTATGAGGAGAATTTGATTGCTAAGCATGGCGTTTTACCGTGCATGAGCAATAGTCTCCCAATGTTTTTCTATGGGGAAGCATTGGATTGGCTGAGATCATCAAGATTGCTTGAGGGGAAAATGGTGGCATGGGAAAAAGGGTTAGTAACACCTTTCTCATGTGATTGGAGGGTGCAGGTCACCTAAACATAGACACTCACTGACAGACAGACACATTCACAGACAGACAGACACACACTCACACACACATTGATTTCACACTCACAATTCATTGTTTAATAATTTAAATCCACCCAGCCTTCCTACCTTTCGAGAAAGCTGGACTGGATTCGCTTTCCTTGGGGTCCATTGGGGCTGCTGTCATCTCTCTGCTCTGCTTCCTAGATGGCTGTTTAGTGAGCCGGGGGCCTGAATGATGTAATATTCCGGTTCCTGGCATTACTGGAGGGCGCGCAAGGGAGAAGAGCAGGGGAATTACTGCTCCCTCGCCGCCGCACTCATTCAGCCGCCTGCGTTCCGCCTCCCTCATTTAGCCTCCTGCGGTCCGCCTCCCTCATTTCGCAGCCTGCAGTCCACCAAGCTCATTTAGCATCCCACTCCCTTCAGCTCTCAATGAGCCAACCATTTGCCTGCCTGCCTGCCTGCCTCAGCACTGCGTGAGCCAACTGCCCGGCTCCAATCTTAGGCAGCCGGTCACCTCAGAGGCTGAAAAGGCTCACAAATGTGTCCTGGCGCCTGGGATTTGTCGAGCCCTGCTATATAGAATGTGAATAACGGCTACCAATCTTTGTCATAAGATGTTAATGTAACACTCTTTCCAGCAGACTCAGTGTTAGAGAGCTTCTAGCTGTGGGTGTGCAAAGGCTGCAACATGTAACACTAAACTGCGCTTCGATGGCTCAGAAGTATTTACAGTGTACCTGGTAGGTGAGTTTTTACGGCCCCAGATTAACATGAAGTTAATATGTAACGATTGTTTTAAAAATGGTTCAGTCCTCACAGTTAAACCTCGGTTATAATGGTGTTTGATTCTATTTAGTACCACGTGCCATGTTAGATGATGGACTCTAGGAATACACATCTGCAATCTCATGCTGTATCGGTGCAAGCTGTGAAACACAGACAACAATCCAGCTAAGACAATGTTATAGAAACAAAACTGAGAATGCAAAAATACAAATAATTGGGACAAAAGTTGTAATCAAGGTTTCCTAGAGAAAATAAATGACAAAACCGCACAAAATAGAGCATATATGTGTTGTATGACAAATACATAGAGAGATTATATGAACATGTGTAGTTGCAAAAGGCTAACAGGATACGTGAGTAGAGCCATTCCACAGCTCAACAGTCAGAAAATTCTGTAAAGCAAAAACTAGACCCACTCTAGTATAATAAAAGCACTCCCGAGGAATCCTAGCTCACTGCTCACGAGCAATTGCCTCCAGTTCAGTAATATTCCTGGGTTTGCGTGCTGCAACCGTCTTCTTCCAATCCCACCAGAGATTTTCTATTGAGTTCAAGACAGGTGAATGTGGTGGCCACTGTAGAATTTTCCAGGACATTTGCAACCAAGACTTGGTGGGATTTGAGGTATGCTTGAGAACATTGTCTTGTTGGAAGGTCCAATGACACCCAAGCTTCAGCTTCCTCACAGACAGCATGACGTTTTCCCTAGGATTTCCTGATACTTCAATTAACCCATCTTGCCTTGCACACACTGCAGGTTTCTAGTGCCAGGAGATGCAAAGCAGTCCCTGAGCATCACCGAGCCACCACTATGAGTAACTGTAGGCAGAGTGTACTTTTCAGCATATGCTTCATTGTTCTTCCTCCAGATATACGGCTGATCCATTGGGTTGAAAAGTTCCAGTTTTGTTTCATCCCTCCACAGGACAGAATCCCCAAACTTCTATGACTTATTTATATGATTTTGAGCATATTGAAGCTGACTTTTCTTGTGCTTTTAGGTCAATAGTGGTGTATGTCTTGGAGTTCTGGCATGGAAATCGTCTGAATTTAGTACACGCCTTACTGTGCTTACTGAAACCACAGTCGATGTTGCCACCAGGTCTTGCTGCAGGCCTTTTGCAGTCAGTCGATAGTTTTTCACAATATGCCTTCTCAGAAAACTGGTTGCAGCCATCAATAGCTTCCTTTTTCTACCGCTTACAGGTAGTTTAATCACTGCTCCTTCAACTTTGATCTTGCGAACTTTCCTTCAGCGGTGTCTCTAGGAACATTCAGTCTCTTCGCTATCTTTTTGTGTCCTGTTCCTTGTTTGTGAAGGGCGATGATATCTTGTCTTAACTTTGTGGATCATTCTAACATGCAATCAAACGTGACAGTAAACAAACCCCTAGGCAGTTAAAGTATTTCAAGTGTTCAAGCTAAAGCACACTTGGTGCAACTAATGAAGCCCTTAATTAGTTGCATCACGTGTGCTTAAGACAACAGCTGTTTTGCATGTTTGTGCCGTTGTGAGAGATTATAAGCCATTCACAAGCCAAACAATAGTTTAAAACAAACTGGCACCAGAACACAGCTAAGTACGAGACACTGTCAAATATACCACCCCTCGTGCACCATTGAGCGATTCAGGTGGTGGGAAATGGTGGCTTTCAGCTGGCTGCATGCATTCCATCGCTAGCAATGGTAGCAAAATGGTGCTGTGAGTTCTTGAATAGAAAAAAGGTGTAGCAGAGTCCACCTGACTGTCCAGAATATTCCCCGTTTACTGGTTACTTGATCCCCAGAGACTTTTGTGTGAATCACTTATAAAGACGTTCGTGTGGATTTAAAGCATTCGTCTAATTATTCCCCATAGACTGTATTGAACCACTCCATTCGGCATACGATCTAAAACTACTGAATCACCGGACCACCCTGATGCGAAGTGTGGCTTAAATCTACCTCCCTGTTCGTTTTATTCCATCTCACTTAAAACTCACGAACGCTTTGTTGCAGTCCCTGAGTGGCCGCCATTTCGGGAGCCGAACACGTGGCGGCAGCCATCTTAAACTCCGAACAGCAGTGTTTGATCGTCGAGTGTCTGGAACCCAAATCGGACACTCGACTAAGCAAACACTGGTGAGACCTCCAGAGCTACAGAAAAGACTGATAAAAACTCCCGAACGGCCCACCGTTCGGTAGGATGAATCCCACGAACACAGGGATTCATCCGAATGCCTGCCCAGCTCTGGATGGCATTTAGTTCGGGACTTTTAAAGCACGAACAGAGACCGACCGCAAGGCCAAAACTTATGGAACTGTTTTCGGCTACTGTTGCCTGTGCGTTCGGTCAAGACTTTATCCCTCCATAACTCCCGAACCCCTGGTCTGATCTGGGTGATCAGATCAGGGTTATCAGATTTTTAGGGGTGTACCCTAGGTATTTGAGGTACATCCAGAATGTGGGGAAAATTGTGTGCCTTTTAATTATGTTAACTGATAATCTGAGGGGAGGAGATGTGTGGGTTGTACCTTATACCTAATTGGTTACTGTACTAATTATTGTGGGTGTCTCCCTTGCATGGGAGGATTGCATAAAAGCAGGGGTTGTGTGATTAAAGATCAGTTCTGCTCCTGATACTGTGTGTCGTCCAGTTATTGGGAAAGGTGATGGGACATTGCTGGATTATATTACTGATTGGGCTTGCTACGCTGCTGGATTACTCTGTTACTGTGGATGTTTTACCTGGGATTATTTACTTGTTCCTAAACCATACTGGGATCTATAGCAGATTTAGTTTGTGCGATATCAGCTCTCCGCTACAAAGGGATATAGGGCAAATAGGCCATTCATCACAGTACTATTTTACCTTCTGGTGCAGTTAATATTCTAAAAAAAAAAAAATAAGATTTTTGTGTTTGCCTACAACCCAGTTTTATAAATATACACGCCTTAAAAAAATAACACGGAAATGTTCACCCCTTCAATTGACTTGGTTTAAACAGTTACCCGGTAATATCTCTAGAACATACAAAATAATAATTCAAGTTTTAATAGCTTCATGTTCCCTTATTACAAGTAACTGGTAAAGAGGAGATTTTTAGGGCACAGCCTACTATTCTTGTATGTCAAATGTGTTTTGTCAGAATTCATTTTTTGTCTTGGTTTATGTACAGCATTGCGGAATATGATGGAGCTATAAAATTAATTTTACCACATGACAGGAGGCTTCATATTTGCATATCTTTCTTTACTGAAAACTCCAGCAGCATAGTAACATAAACAACCACTCAGAAAAAAGATATAATGCCCATAAAAGGCCCTGTCTATGACATCACTTCCTCTTTCTTTGCTGCTCCAGCCAACATCAGGTCAGAGTATTTTGCCTCCCTGGCAATTGCTTACATATATTGTTTGTTTCTCTGTATTTTGGATGGTATTGTTCTATTTTTACCTAAGTTAATTTATTTACCTAAGTTAATTTATTTATTTAGCTAATTTATTTATTTCATTTACTTATTTCATTTAATTAATTTACTTATTTAGTTTTTACTTTCACTGTTCCCTTCTCCCTGTCCCTGCAGTTTTCTTTTTGGGCCCCCTATTGCTTTTCACTGCCGGTACCCGCGAGCAACGGCTGTCAGTGCCGCGCGCCGCGGGCCGGCTAACGTTTTTCCTTTTGTGGGGCCGGCAAGGGGACGGGTGGAGGGGGACTGGGAACTGCGTTCCCTCGTCATTCCGGCGCCGAGCGGTCGATCGCGGCGCTACTTCACACGCGGGCAGCGGCCATCTTGGATCTCGCGGCTCGCGAGATACCGGACGGCCGCCTTCCCCGCTTGCCCGGCGGATCGGTAACTCACCCGATCGCTGGGCTCCACATCTTTATACCCTCCCTAGTATGTACTAAGGGAGGGTATTAGGTTACAGTGGATTTTTGCCTTTCTATATATATATTTGCCCAGTGCCTGCCTGCTGTGCTGCCTATCTATTATAAATGCATGCATTAAAGAGACAAACATTCCCCCCTTTTTTTGCCAGCTTCAGACCTTTATGTCTCTAGGCCCTGCTTAGGGTCATATCAGCTACTATACCCCAATTAGGGTTATACTATACATGGTTATAATCTCCTCAGGATCAGACGGCATACTGGCAAAAAATTATATACAATTATTATTTTTTATTCTCATGAGCAGGCACACAATCTATGTATTATTGTGAAGCCATACAATATCACAGTCGTTATACAAAACATATACTGTACCTATATCAAGATCAACTATATCCTGTACTCTACGAAGGGCATATTAGGTTACTGTACCCTACAAAGGGCATATTATATTATATTATTGTACCCTACAGAGGGTCATATTATATTACTGTACCTGACGGTGCAAATTTATGTGGGTGTCCTCTGGGTATTTTTTCATGGCACACCACCTGGGGTGACCCCCCAGATATGCATGCAAGGTCACTGACAGACCATTACCTTTGATGTGGGTGTCCTCTGGGTTACCATGGCACACCACCTGGGGTGACCCCCCAGATATGCATGCAAGGTCACTGACAGACCATTACCTTTGATGTGGGTGTCCTCTGGGTTACCATGGCACACCACCTGGGGTGACCCCCCAGATATGCATGCAAGGTCACTGACAGACCATTACCTTTGATGTGGGTGTCCTCTGGGTTACCATGGCACACCACCCGGGGTGAACCCGATCATATGCATGGAGGCCTACGCCTCAACTTTACCACTGATTACTACAGACATATATGGATGTTTAACCCTTAACTATGGATGTTTAACTTTGGAATAAAAGGGAATCATGACATGTCGCACATCTCATGTGTCTTTAAGGGGTTAAACACTGCCTGTCAGTTTTACATTAAAGCAACAGTACCATGCCGGATGCGATTTGATGGCAGGATCACTAAGAAAATTGAGTGTATTGCGGTGTAACCTTCACAGGGATACATATATGTATATTTTCTGTGCCTAGTGTACATATGGAACGTGGGTGTCCTCTGGGTAATTTTTCATGGCACACCACCTGGGATGACTCCCAGATATGCATGCAATGCTTGTAAGGTGCCAATAAGTATAATATGGGTGTCCTCTGGGTTACCATGGCACACCACCTGGGATGAACCCAGCCTAATAGACATGGGTCCTGCGGCTGCAGACCTTATGGAGACAGGCCCCATGCGCCTATATAGTAAGCCTGTGTAGTTAAAACCCTGCATACAGCTCTGGCGTACATTTGTGGTGAACCCGGCTAGCCAGACCGACACCACTACCAGGCAGTCGCGCCTGCACCACGGCTCTCAGTAGCCAGATTAAACTAATAGAGGTGACCCCTCTTTTTACCTGGGTGATCCCCAGTTCTACCAGGAGTCTAACACCCCTACGTGCTGACCCCCACACTATCTCCCAACAGGACGGGAACGAGTCATGGTGGACACTCTCAACGTTCCCAAGATTTCGAGACAATGATAAACGCCACAGTAACGGCCTCAGTGGAGAAGGTTCTGTTATGAACTCTACCCCACACCGCTTGATGGAGACCTCAGGCCCACAAGCCTTCAAGTCAAAACGGCAAGGGAAGGGCTCCAGCCCCCCTGCCACTAAGGTCAAGGGCAAGATGCCCATCGAACAGACCAAATAGGCGGAACACCGGGAATCCAAACCCCGTCCGCCACAATCTTCCGACAAAAAAGACTATTACCCACTGAAGCAACTTTCAGCCAAACTAGCCTTCTTATTATGCCTCGTCTCATTTAGACGGTGGCGGACGTTAGGGCTTGCGATATGGATGGTTTCTCTCTCACACCAGACGGGGTTACCGTTACCATGTCGAGACAAACTAAGTCTGATTCGTCTTCAGTGTCATACCCATGCTTTGTGTCAGACGCCACACTATGCGTGGTCAGAACGCTAATGGGGTACACCAATATCTCTACCCCCTTCGAACTCACTCGACGGATCACCTTCTGACTTCTTACGTAAACCCTCATGGACCGCTGTCTACCGCAACACTGGCCAGATGGGTCCGCTGGGTTTTGTCTTTAGCGTCGAACCTTGTTTCGGAGCCCACTCGGTCAGGGGAGCAGCGGCCTCACAAACCTTTTCGGCCGACGCTTCCCTAGCCGACATTATACGCTGCGCGGACTGAGCGCGAGAGAGTACGTTTAGAACGTTCTATTTTCGGCAAACATCTCATGCTTCCTTCACATTGGTCAATTCAAAGCTTTAAAAATGCAAATATGAAGCCTCCTGTCATGTGGTAAAATTGAAGATTATACTAGCTTTAGTGTACTAATAATCTTAATTTTAGTAATGACAGGAGGCGAATATTTCCCACCCTATAGGATCCCTCCCATGTTTCTTGTGTTGAACAGAATATGTCCTTTATGTTCAGGAAGGTAAGTACGTATGGTTTGTATGTTTGCTACTTAGACCTGTATCTTGTGGGTCTTGTATTGGCTGAATATTAGACGTGAACCTTGCATTATGTTGTGTTTATAGATTCTTAAATATCGTTGCGTTAGAATAAATATATATTGATATGTTTCACACTCTAATGTTCGCTGGTATGTCAGATGCTTAATGCTTATTGTATGCGGACAAGTTATCACGCCAGATACCTTTCACCTTTTTCTTTTTCTTGCAGCGTGAACGTCTTCTCATCGTGACAAAGTTTCACCTTCTATACCTCTGCATCGCGGAACTAGTGGAGTTGGATATTCTAATATGTTGTTGAACTGTTGACGTAATATGATTATGTCTCCTATTGCTATTTATTGTTTCGCTTCAAAGAAAGAGGAAGTGATGTCATAGACAGGGCCTTTTATGGGCATTATATCTTTTTTCTGATTGGTTGTTTATGTTACTATGCTGCTGGAGTTTTGAGTAAAGAAAGATATGCAAATATTCGCCTCCTGTCATTACTAAAATTAAGATTATTAGTACACTAAAGCTAGTATAATCTTCAATTGTAATTGTAATAATGATACTGTCTCAGCTGCTACAAACTATCAATAGCAAGAAACAATATGAACTCAATTCTAGTCCAGGTTTGGAAAAACACTTTGCGCTACATGGGCTATTTACTTACATACCACACCCAAGCAGATAGATAAGAAGCCTAATGATGGGTTGGGAATGTATTACTGATAAATTAATTAAACATGTCTCATACAGGGAGTTATACTTTAAAATGGTAAATAGATGGTATGCAACGCCGCTTAAAGGACCACTCTAGGCACCCAGACCACTTCAACTTAATGAGAAACTGCTATGTTTATAATAGGGTTAATCCAGCCTCTAAAGCCTCTAGTGGCTGTCTCATTGACAGCCGCTAGAGGCGTTTGCGTGCTTCTCACTGTGAAAATCACAGTGAGAAGACGCAAGCGTCCATAGGAAAGCATTATGAATGCTTTATTATGAGACTGGCTGAATGCGCGCGCAGCTCCTGACGCGCATGTGCATTCAGCCAGCGAGGAGGTGGAGAGGAGGAAGAGAGCTCCCCACCCGGTGCTGGAAAAAAAGGTAAGATTTAACCCTCTCCTCTCCATCCAGCCCGGCGGGAGTGGGACCCTGAGGGTGGGGGCACCCTCAGGGCACTATAGTGCCAGGAAAATGAGTAGGTTTTCCTGGCACTACAGTGGTCCTTTGAACTTTGGCAAATGAAGAAAGATGACACTTCTAAATTTTGTGGGAGAGGCTGTAACCAAGTAGGCTCAGCGATACATATGTGGTATGTACACATTCAAAAGTATTGGAAGGAGGTAAAATATGGGGTGTCTCGTATCATTGGTGAAAAGATTAATTAAACCCCAGAACTGGCTCTGTTTCACTTCATACCAAGTTACCGCACAAAAGAACTAAAATCCCTCCTTCTTTGTATTTTTTCAATAACGAAATGATTGTTGTAAATTAGAAAGCAGGGAGGTTGCCAAAATGGTCAGATGTGGAAAGGGTGATGCAGAGAAACAGAGCATTAGAAAGAGAGGATGGACACTTAGGGGTTTACATAGCCCCGAAGTATAAGTGGGCCATCTGGGACGACTATTGTTTATGCCATGGACAAAATTCTTTATAGTTTTTCCTGCTCATCAGCTCACTTCCCCATGGAATCTCGGAACATGTGTGTGTTTGTTATACACGGGTATTGAGTGTTTTGAACTGACTTATTCCATCTTCCCGGGTTTCCCATTATACAGCACTTGGCATATTTCCTCATTCCTGTCTATATAGAGTGCCTACCGTACAGAAGAGGGTTATATGTTATAGGGCCTCTCCTCTAGGATATGGCTGCAGATGGCGATCAATATGTGGAGTTGGAGTATGCCTCTAATACAGGATAATGGGGAGATTGGAGATGAGAGTTGGGTAGATGGGTGAAGGGTGCAGGTTACTATTTGTAATTTGGGTTTATCAGAATATTAAGATAATTTGTATTGTTTGATAGACTGTTGTATGTTTCTTTTATTATTTATGTGTAACCTGTCCCAAACCAATACCTATGTTTAGTGTGTTGTATGTAAATAATTTTTTATGTATTTTGTGATAAAACTAATAAAAATTTATACAAACTAAAAAAAAAGGAATGTATTACTGTAGTTAGTTAATGTTTTAGTTACTATGTCCTCTTTGTCAGTCACACCCCCTCCTTTTTATTTTTTATTATTTTCTCTTGAATTTATACCACTGGTGTAAAGGGAGGGGGCAAAGTACTAGACTTAAATTCACTCATCGAGTTATTTTTCTTTTTTTTGTTGTTGTTGTTGTCAATCTGTGTTTTTATTGCAGTGGAAGATGACGTGCATGCCATAGAAAGACATATCCGAATGGTAACACAATACAGTATAGTTGTATGTAGTATTACTTTACACACGAGGGTAATTACTGCAGATATAAACAATGGAAACCAGATCCTATGAACAATCAAAATTATATAAACATAAAAAATGGGGACCCTATTATTATTATTATCGCCATTTATATAGCGCCAACAGATTCCGTAGCGCTTTACAATATTATGAGAGGGGGGATTTAACTATAAATAGGACAATTACAAGAAAACTTGCAGGAACGATAGGTTGAAGAGGACCCTGCTCAAACGAGCTTACAGTCTAGACTTTCATGAGTTGTACTAGAAATACCAGTCAACATAGGGATAACGTTTGGCTCACTAGGGCAAAATATGTATTGTACAGAAATTTTATTCTACCTAAAAAACACATATGAACTGAGTTAAAGCAATATCTGTGAAAGGATTATGAAGGAATATCTGTGAAAGGATTATGAAGGAACGAGTATAAGTGAACGTATAACAGGAGTGGTTGTTGTTTTGCTATCTGAGCAACACAGTATGGGAAGCATTACCAGATACAGTAAGCACTTATTACTATACTCGTAGGCAATGTATTAAGCCATAACCAAGGGGGCAGCAGGAAAATCTCACCAAAGAAGGTTGGTACAGTGAACTTACTTTGCACTGCACAATATAGAAAAATTAGGCTTTAATTGGGTAATAGGACTCATCAATAATGAGATGAACCATTACATAATAATGGGGAAAAACAAAAACATGAAAAATAAAAAGTCAGAAGGCATGTAATGGGACATGAGTGGGTAACCAGCTGTTGCAGACCTTTGGGTAACATTCCGTTCAGGTTCCAGAATGATCCTCCACAGCACTTTGAGGTGGCATAACATTAGTCGGATCCAAGTTTCTGTAAAGAGCGTGGCTGAGATTCGGGGACATTTGGTGGAGGAAGGCACAATGCTCCAAATAGTGCGGGAGCTTCAGCAACAGATAGACATATAGACAGTTCCTTGACGGGTCATGAGCAGAAATGTCAAAGGGCTCCATCAATAAGCAACTCCAGCCTCCCTAAGCGTAAGTCACTATGTTGAGCGACCTACACCACTGGAGCATGGCCCTGGTGAGGTTGTGGAAAAAGGTAAGATGAGAGTTTTCACAGGGGTATGGTGTCTTACCCCTAACGGCTACCATGAAGTGTCCTTTATCCTGGACAATGTTACACCAGCCGGAGCACTAAAAAATATCGGGAGGTGATATGCTCCCCCAACCGTAAATTATTTAGCCAGATTCGGGGGCAAGATCGCTGTAACAAGGCATCTTAAGTAGTGCGGCAGTTCTTCCGAGGCAACTGTGTCAGGTATGCCCCGTATTTTGATGTAATTCCTCAATGGAAGACATTTGTATAGTGAGCCCCTGATTAGGGAATTGACCTGAGTGAGCTTATCCTGCATAACAGAAAGGTATGGACAAATATCAACATTCAGATAAGCAGGTCACCATGAAACACTTGTGGGGTAGCCCAAAGTGGAATAGCGCTCGAGGCTTGAGCAATTTAGAATTAATTCAGAGAAGCAGATGGTGTCCACTCTCCCTCATAAGCAAGCTCTCCCCCTCCCCCCAACACCCCACATTTTTATTTTATTTACTGTTTTATTAATTATTAATTTTTAATAATTTTATTAACTGTTTTTGTACGGTTGTATTAATTTATGCTTAAGAAAATAAAAAAATTACAGCTATGTCTGCAATCTGTTGATCCAGCAGGATGTAGATAAGGAGTCATTCATTATCGACATATGGTCAATTCATATTGGAGACTCCTATTAAAAGTAGGTCCGTGTATAAAATGCAAATACAATAAACCCATTGCAGCACTCACTCATTATATTATACCTATTGGATTAAAAACATTTTTTTCTAATGACACATATAATTTTTTGGGGAAAAATAGTTTAATTAAAAAACCCCAAAACATGGCATATTTTAAACAGAAACTATATTTAAAATATACATAATACACCCTACTTCTTAAATCATATATTTTAAAAAAAGCACTAAAATTACGCAAAGGGAAAAAAAGTTCTTCACAAAAGCTAATAAAGAGAAGCTATTGGCCACCAAGAGGAGCCTTTCATTCTGTTCTATGGAGTCTGGTAGTATCCTAGTAACACCCGTCCTACCATTTATGAGATATGAGGTTTATATTATTATTATTTTATTATTTATATAGTGTCATCACATTCCGTAGCGCTGTACAATGGGTGGACTAACAGGACGTACAGGAACAGAGAGGTAAACCCCTGGGATTCTCAGCCTGCAGATGTTATCCATGTAGGATAAAACAAACAATGATAATGCAGAAATGTTTCAGTAAAGTGAAACTTGGATCTGTCACTACAGCAACCAATGGAATGCTTTTGACTGAGGGACGCACATAAGAGGCTACACGATTATGCAACACTGAACATGGCTGCCTGTACTTAAAAAAAAAAAAAAAAAAAAAAGATATTTGGGGGCCTGACCAAGATGGATGCATGAACCCACAGTGGACATTAAGAGGACCATTCACATGGAATGGCGGGACTCCACGTTAATCTGGCGCAATTGCAAGGCCGCATATCTGCACTGGAGACACAATACTCACACTAGGAGCAGAGACACAGGGCAACTGAATTGGCGGCAACAGGGCTCTAACCTGCTGGGAATGAGACTGCATGTAGAAGAAATGGATAACAGATGGAAAGGTGTAATGCCTGCATTACGGACCTAACCAGTCCCTGAGTCACTTATGGAGATGAATTATTTGACAGGGGGGGTGGAACAAACAAACAAAACCTTTTCCAGCCCACGAGTGAGTGGGGGTGTGGGTAAAGGCTTTGACACCCACAGGGAAGGAAAAGAGGTAGGATACCTCAACACAAAAGGGGGGAAATCAGGAATGCTATGAAGGGGTCGGGTTATGCCTAAAGCCTATCATATATAGACAGTATGCACTCAGTTGGGTTCTTGTACTTATTCATTCAGTGACTGATCATTGATTCAATTCATCTCTATGAGGAGATGATGATTGGCAAGGGCTGTGTTTGAATTGTGCTGGCTCTGCCCCTGATCTGTCTCTTTGTCACTCTCAGCAAATCCTATGGGGAAGTATTGTGATTGGATCAGGCTACTACTTCTGATGATGTCAGCAGACTGCTTGTTTTTCTGAGGCAAACAGCATACAGCTTCAGGCTTGAATTCGATAAGATTTTGCAATATTTATGGAGGCATAATATTGTAAAGCGCTATGGAATATGTTGGCGCTATATAAATGGTGATAATAATAACCACTTCAAAAGAAATGCATTAGATACAGTGCCTACAGTGTCTCTTTAAGAATGCAAACTACATTAGTTATTCAAAAAATTATACTGAATTAATTTCACAGTGAATATAAAATTCATTGCAGTGTACTTTTCCATAATATTGTTTAAAGAGGCTGTTGGTTCCTACAAAGAGCTGCTTTTTTCCATCCCAGCAAACCATAGCGACCACGTCTGCATCTGTAGGCTTTTACACAGGCCAGAGAATAATGATTAAGCTCCATAAAGTTCCAAATTTACAAGGAATTTTTTTATATTTAGCTAATAAACCTTTTTTTCAAGGACAAAACTCAGGTCAGTGTCAGACATAAACACCAGAATGATTAACACCCAACAAAAAGGTAAGGCATGTAGATCTTTTTAGCACAGTGTGAGTGACAATCAAAGCGTGTGTAATGGAGGAAGGATTCCTACATAATTGCAGCACGGTCTTGCATTTCTAAAGACTTCTGCAGAAGTTCCACTGTGTTACATCAATGTACTTAATCATGGAAACAATTAAACATATAGTTCCTTGATTTAAATAAAAAGTGAGCACGCTTTGTAAAAAACAAACAGGCGTCTGTAAATATTCATTCATTTTAGCTATCCAGTTCTGGGTCCCAGAAAGATCTACTTTGATTGGTCTAAGAGGTTTTATAGTGCTAATTACTTTCATTCAGCTACCTATCACTGACCTATGACAATATAAGGGGTACAGTGGTATTGTTTTTGCGTTGGATATCTCCCCACTATCCTTCCTAGGAGGAAGTATGGAATATTGGAATCTCAGGTAAAGACTAGGCACGTAGAGGTGAGAGAATCCAAAAAGTGGGAAAGGAATTTGCATTTGGGCACAGAGCTTGGCATAGATGGGCAAGGTGGTCACAGAATGGACCGAGCTGAATAAACTGGCATATCTGAATGGCATGCAATGAAATTCCCCAGGGCATGGGTGTATCAAGATACTAAAATCTACAAGTTTAATAAAACGTTCAGTATACCAACCACGGGGAGGGCAAGGAAACTCGTCTACCTCCCTTTCTGCTGGCTTTAGTGCTATTTCCCATGTGGATATCTTTCTTTTCCAGATAAAAGCTGACCTAGAGTTTATTGGGCTTTATTTATCAAACTCAGAATTGCAATGACTCAAATCCAAATTGCAAAACTTGGCAATAGTGGAATTGATTTTTTGGTGTAAATTGAGCCATTTGGAATGTAATTCAGTGTAATTTGCAGGATACGGAATAACCCTGCATCTAATACGAATTCTGTTTTCTATATCAAATGTCCCAACTTCCTTTATTTTGGCAGCCATTTCTCCACCTATTTTCCCAAGTTTAAATCTTGTGAAACATATTCATTGCACACCAAGCGAGAGCACAAAAAGCCCATCCACGTGGATTTCTCAAATCTTCAACGCGTTCAGTATGTATAGATAAGAAACGAAGTGACATTTTATAACCCCAGGTATTTTGGTACTTTGGTAACAGATACCAATCTAAACTTTACATATGTGTCATTCCTAACAGATAAATATGCACAAAGAATGTTCCTTCCTGTATTAAAAAAAACCAAGCAAACGGTCTTTTAAAGCAATTGTTTCTGTCGTAGCAAAAAGCTTGTCAGCAAGGAGGAGGAAATGGTTAATCTGTTGAATAAGAAGTAGAATTGTTACAGCCAGCCCCAAAATAAACTGCTTTACTACATGACCGCCTAGCTGTGTCCAAACATAGTTACTAACTCTGCCCCTTGTACACATACTCTGTGATCTCACACGCACATACATAGCGAGATCAGAATTAGAATCTTACAAACACAGACACAGACACACAAAAAAAGGCATTCACACACTGATAAGCTATCGCCTGCTTGTTCAAACACGTAGTAGGGAAACAGATCACTGGAAGCAAATTTAAGAGAATGGAAAAAGTTTGCAGGACTTTTTCACACTCAGCTATACACTTTTGCACTAGGAAATGCCAGCGCTATCAACAAACTCTATGCCAGCACTGATTCCCATGGCAATAGCACCCAAACACACACGGCTCACACTGGCACATGATTCACAAACAGCTTTGGGTGTCACTCTGCAAATTCACCTTATATTCAGCAGGAACAGGGATCTGCTTTAATTACACACAAACATAACGTACAGCACTAGCTGGAACATAATTACCTACAAAACAATATTCAGCTACGATAAGGGCTGGCAAGAGAAGGTCCAAAGTCTGTGCGTCTTGGAAGAAGTGTCCCATCCAGAGAGCTAGGAAGCAGGGAGCACCATGGCAATTAAAGGGAGAGGAACCCTGCAACAAAGAGCAAATTTGGACATATGCCTCCTTGCGAAATCAAAGATCCTACAGAGATTTTTAATATTTCTTACTGGAATGGCGATCCTGGGGATGCTGCTCACCTACAAGGTCGTGGTGTTTAACCGATCGCCACAGGAAACTCCCGAAGACTATGACAGGTAAGATAGCGTGTGTGAATACAGTGTAACAATCCCATTCAGCTAGACAGTAACTGTTCACAAAGACCTGTTGTCTTCAGTTAAATGCATTTTTCAGCTGCAGCTTCCTCCTCTGGCAAGCCACCCGGAGTCTCCTTTCAGTGAGATATGATCGATATCATCTCTCCGCAGCAGGACAATTTAGGAAACTTAGTCACAGACATTTTTTTTATGGAGTAACGTTTTCCCAAAATAATAATGAGGGTCAGAACACAAAGACTCGCAGGAAATGTTTTGCTGGGAAAATTATTATTATAAAAAACAAAAACATTCTATTGTATTCAGCTGCAAAGAAATAAATGCTAGTAAACAGTCAGCTTAAAATAACACAGCAGATGGATTCTTGTTTCAATACACGTGTGCAGGCTAGATTTGGGGGGATAGCTCTGCTATACAAACTGTTAGTCCCGATCTTGAGTTCTCTTACATTGTGTCTGCATCGCCGAACTATCCAGGCTGCTCCAAACTCAGCTTTCCAAGTTTAAAAATTCAGTTTCTCTCTTTTTTTCCCACTAAACAAAAGTAAATGTATTTTTCCATTAAGCCCTTGTCTGATTTCACTTTATTTTGTATAAATATACTTCGCTGTATTAAAGAGAACTTAAAGGGACACTATAGTCACCCAGACCACTTCAGCTCAATGAAATGGTCTGGGTGCCAGGTCCCTCAGGTTTTAACCCTTCACATGTAAACATTGTTTCATTGCAGGGTTAATCCAGCCTCTAGTGGCTGTCTTCCAACGTGCAAAACGTCTATAGGAAAGCATTGCGCATTGCCACGCATGCGCATTCCGCTCCACTCAAGAGCTGATGTCAGCAGGGGAGGAGAGGTCACCATTAAGGGGATTAAGGGGTTTTAACCCTTTCAACGCCACGGGAGGGGGACCCTGAGGAATTTCTCTTGAATTCGGCTTCTGGGGACACTACTGCGGGGTCGTCCCCTAAGCACATTGATAAATACAAACACGTTATGCAAGACCAACACCAAGCAGTGACAGCACTTACACAGTGTCCTACGCATGCGCAGACCTGGCTCGTGCTTTGCTCTCTCCTGTCCCAATTAATAAGCAACATATGCTTACCATGACTGCTGAGCGGTATATTACAACTTTCATATGTTCTATATTTAATCACTAAACCGTGAGTTTTGGTTATACTTAATTTATAAAACATTGAGGTGAAAATTGAAGAACTACAACGAAATATCTGCTGCGGAGCTGGGTTATTTTGACCTCATTTTTGTAAATTAATGTCATTCTCACCACAACTTCCTGTTTAGTAAATAAACTGCATATAATCTCTGACAACATGTGCTGAAGCTGTTCCACCAACTACATCAACCAAGAGCAGCGTAATTAAAGGTCCAATGGCAGGGGTGTGATAAAGACGATGTATTCCGTGTACACCCTGCTTGTAGTGGACGGCCCATGCTGGCACTTTATAAATGAAACAAAGTCAAAATACACACAGATTGGGAGATACGCAAAGTATACAGTGAGGGAGCAAATGTTTGGTCTGGTACTGAATGTTAGAATGGTTCCAGAGTAAAATGCTTCATGTAAACCAACAGAAGCTGATAACCTCTGAAAACAGGTTATCACGGTATCCATTTTTTGACAGCACTATGCAGACGCTTTTGTAAAACAATCAGAACATAAAATACAGTATTTGGAACATTACAGGGCCATGTGTTTGTAGCTAGCCTTATGTGATAAGGGGCCATCCACTGCTCAAATAAAATTAATAAAATCAACGTTTAGTAGATATACCCCTAATGAAAATGTGTATTTATTTAATTATACATTTTTCATTTGGGGCATATCTAAAAACAGCTTCCAAAAGCTGCATGTCCACAGCCTCTGTAAGCCCTCCCCTTCTAAACACTCCCAGACCTTCTGTTGCTGTCCAATCACAGACTTCCCAATGCAGTTCAATGAGAAGTCTTTGCAAGGCAGGTGCTCTGGGCAATTGCTGCCTCTTGAGTTTATCTTCACTGAGCTAAACAAACCAGGAAGTAACAGGAGTGATTGAATGTCTGACAGCAAGGGGGTGTAAAAAGGTTAATATATAAAAAAAATTCAGTTTTTATTGAAATCTGCACGTTTTTCTAAAGTGAAAAAAAGAGGACACGCTCTTCACACATAACGCTTTTTAGCAAGCTGAGGTACTTTAGGGGTCTGTAGTGTTCCTGTAATGTATAACCATTGTTAATTATAGTAATTAAAAAAATTTAATTACTCATTATTTTGTGTTTTTTTTGTGATTTAACACATTAACATGTTTCATGCTATGTCAGCGTAGAGTACACAATCAGGAGTATTCATGAGAATAATTGGCTTTTCACTGTGAACTTCAAACTTGAGTTAAAATTAGCTGTACCATAAACACTGAGAACGTGTATCATTTTTCATTGTTGTAGTTTGATAAATAACACTATCAGTTTTAGCAAAACCAGATTATCCTATAATCGTACATCTCAACACATGGAAAACCAATTCATCAAACAAGCACTGGAGACACAGGTATTCCATGCCTACATTCTTCTTCAATGACAGAAACTACTTTAAAAACAGGCATATCGGTATCTTCCGAGATATAAACTATTGTATCATGGCTAAATCTCTAACAAAATACTTAAAAATAAACGTTCCCTACATTTCTCCTAAAACACGGGTACATAGTGCTGGATGTGAGGGCTATCATGGACATGAAGAGACTGCTTTGCTAGTCCAGACCTGCGTCTTGCTTAAAGCAGTTTTAATATTTAGTAGAATGTACTTTCCACGTTAGTATATCAATCCAGCTCATTTTTGTCATACAATCTCAAGCACACTGCGTTTTTTTATTTCTCGTACAGAACCTTCTCTGTGCCATTCTCAGATCTTTTCATGTTTATCAGTCCCCCAAAAGTAAACATTTCATTAGTAATGGTCAGTATTTGAAACAAAAAGGATGTGTGAAAAGCTGAAACCATCCATAGAGAGATTTACCTATTATTAAATATCTGATGAGATTAATCTAACAGCAGGTTTCTACATAATGCTAATCCGTACTAGGAATGACTCCTCAAAATGAAAAATACCCACATATTTTCTTTGAGTCGTACCCTGCCTATCACATATGATGCACAATATTTCATTAACTTCCTCTTCATAATTGCACCAGACAGATATTTTGGGCTGGAGATGATCCACACCATTTCTGACAAGGGCATGTTTTTTAACGCAAGGCTGCAGATGCTCATGGAGATAGGCACATAAATCAATGTATAACAGAAAGGAACAAAGTCCATTAAGAACTAACAAAGAAGAATAGATTAGCGTTTGAGAGCAACATAATATTTAATAGGGTTAAAAGATCACTATAGTGTCAGGAAAACATAACGGTGCCCCCACCCTCAGGGTCCCCCTCCCGTGGCACTGAATGGGTTAAAACTCCTTCAGCAGCTTACCTTATTTCAACGCTGGGCTCCCCCGCCGACGTCAGCGGAGCCGCAAGTGCCGCGCGCATTCAAAGTGTCCATAGGAAAGCATTTTTCAATGCTTTCCTATGGACGCTTTGCGCGAATGGAGGCATAATATGCCTCCAGCGTCGCAGATGCGCCTCTAGTGGCTGTCCGGAAGCCAGCCACTAGAGGTTGGCTTAACCCTAATGTAAACATATCAGTTTCTCTGAAACTGCTATGTTTGCATCTGAAGGGTTAAACCCTCAGGGACCTGGCACCCAGACCACTTCATTGAGCTGAAGTGGTCTGGGTGACTACAGTGTCCCTTTAAAGAACGCAAGGCGATTCTAAGTCATTCAATGTGCTCACCAAGAAAGAGCCGGTGTATCTTGTCAGGATCAGAGATGACGATAATACGCGTACATTTGCGAACTCTTAGTGATAAAGCAAAAGCTTTATTCGTGTGTGACAATGGGCACCTACGATGAGAAGCTGAGTCGCGCCATTTAATTGATGATTATGCTAACTTTAGTGTACTAATAATCTTAAGTTTAGTAATGACAGGAGGCAAGTATTTTACTAACTCCATAGCAGCACAGAAACATATAGAAAAAAAGAACAAATCACAAGAGAGTAGGATGTACATGAGGTGTAATGACCGAATCATTTCCTCTTTCAAAAGGAAATAAACTTCCCGTGAAGTCCACACAAACAGTCAAAATGTTTTCAGAGACTAAAAAATCTGAAGGAGTAAACGTACAGAGAATTTCACACGAACAACCAAATGTCTTCAGTGACGAATCATACTGAAAAGAGAATGTGCGACAGGTTTAGACACATAGTCATGAACACGGAAATCCACGTACCGTATACATCATCCCATAGCAGTAAATTGTAAATTACAATCTGATAACTGAATAACTAAAATGTAAAACTCCAATGGCAATTCCAGATCAATGGAAATACAAAACATTAAGAGCCCAACCTACCTTAGACCAGTGATACATACAAAGAAAGGGTGGCCTAGCGAAGCAGGGAGGGAAAATACTTGCCTCCTGTCATTACTAAAATTAAGATTATTAGTATTATTAGGAGGCGAGTATTTTGCATTTTGAACTCTGAGAAAGGAATAGAAAATTAATGAAGAATCCGAAAGTGTGATAAGATACCTAGAACGTCAGGCTAAGGGAGAGCCACCAGATCAAACATAAAAGTCATGCCCAGTCCCGTAGAAAAACATAGAACGACCTCCACATCCTATAAGCCGGAGGTGGATGACACTGGGTGGCTGGTACACAAGAGGATCCTTGTCCATCGGGAGTCCCCAGACCGGGACACGGGCCGTAGAACTGTCCTCCCCCCCCCGGCCCCACCCCTGGGCGGCGGGTGGGGGCCATAAGACAAATTCCCCCCCCCCCTCATTCACCCACCCAAATAAAAATAAAAATAGTGAGGGGGGAATAAAATAACTAATCTGCAAAGAAAAATAAAACTTACCAAAAACCAGACGCTAAAAAAAAACCAATCCATCCATGGAGGGCTCTGCGCAGACTGAGCTCTGCAGGGTGGGGGGAGGCTGAGAGCACTCTGATTGGTTGGTTTAAGCCAATCAGAGTGCTCTGTGTCATTTTGCACAGAGTGGGAAAGTTCTTTGGAATTTTGCCACACTCTGAAATTTGACTCATAACTCTCTGATTGGTGGGCTTGAAATCCATCCAATCAGAGTGTTATGAGTCAAATTACACAGTGCGGGAAAATTCTAAAGGATTTTTTTTTAAGTTCGACGGGTATG